ATCTTTGTATTGACCACACAATTACATATAAGACCTACTAATTTTACATTTTAAAAGAAAATATTATGAGTCAAATCCTTTACCAAAAAAAATAAAAAAAATTCAATGCTATTTGAGGGCATTGAATTCGAGAAACGTTATGACACGCATCCATGCACACTTACGTTAACTATGCTCAGACACTTACGTCACTCTTTTATTTTATTATTAGATTCTCATATTTTTTATTTATTTTTTATGGTTAGGGGATTTGTTCTACTGACCATTTTGCAGGCGCACTGTCAATTTTCATGATGGATTTGACATTTCGCTTTGCATGTTAAGTATCTCACCGCTCTCTTCCCTCGCTACTGTTTCTTCGGGTTAATACTCCCTATATAACATTTGACTTCATCTTTTACTTTAATCGTTTTAATTCTCTATCTACTTTAATAGTACTAACTAAAATCACATTATATCGTTATTGTCATATTAATTTACAAAATATACTTATAAATATCAATAGAAAACAAATTATAAGCAAAAAAGAATAGCTCCATAACAGACCAATTATTCAAGTACTTGCGGTTTTATATTAATTGTATGTTCCTCCTCACCTTTCACTTTCAGTGTGTCAATGGGTACACTACCCTTCTATGTTCTTTCTTTGGCTTAAAAAAAACGCTCATACATCGATTAAAGACTGAATTTCTATTGGTAAGTTAGTAGGGGATATGGACAAATAAAGTTTCCAATTGTTTAAGCAGTATATTTAGATGGATATAGATGTATACGTATACAATGGTCTGATGCTATATAATTTATAGGGATATAATAGTGATGTAAGATTAAGGTATGGACCACGAGGGGAATTAGAATCGAGATAAATACTCATGATCCGATGAACCGTACCTTCTCTATTGCACTCTTAAGTTGGCATGCACTTGTACTAATCAATTCACTGCATATATATGTATAGATGCATGGGGATTTGCCATGCAAAGAAACAAATGCACTTCTCTTACTCACGTATCATATATAGCCATATATGTGAAACTTGAGAAAACGTGCGAGTCCAAATTTGAAATTTGTATTTATATGTACATATGATGACAAAAGCAAAGCTTTCATTAGAATAGACTTGTCGTGTCCTCTGCCATTCTGCATCCTCCGTCCAAATTTACTATTAGATTGCTTTGCCCACATTTTTTTAATTTATTTCTTAGTATCTTCCACCATAACCATTCTAATGGCCAACAATACTAGCTCCAATTTCATTTGGATAGAAAATGGGACAAAGTTTTATGAACATGTAGCTCGTTTGATTTACTTGATAGTGGTGGTTCAAATCAAGAAAAAGAAAATATGGTTCCTCCCATAATATTTAGTTATTTACCTTAAAAATATGTAAAATTGTTTTGAAATATTTTCTAAAACAATTTTTAGTTAAAAAAAAAGAGGCAAATTTGGTGGTCGTGAAGATATGACCATCATCCTATAAGAAACTAAGTGGCTAAAAAGAAAACCAAAATGAATGGTCTTAGTTTTTTTGTTAATCCTCTAAATCTCTAATGAACTATTTTAATTCTTTAAACAATTATGTAGTTTTGCCATTTTGTCGCTTTTAAATTTCCGTGGAAAACCATATCTAAATAAATGTGGGCTGTGGAAGCCCCTTGGTACATTGGTTGACTAAAGGTTGATTAATGCTTCTACACCAAAAAAGTCTGGGGTTCGAGTCCCAGGTATTGCGATTTATTAACAAATTTGCAGATTGATGGAGGCAAGTGTGCAAGAGATCTCCAACGATGTACAATTATAGCCGTTCGTCAGGATTCTACGCAGAGAAGGAAGTGTCGACAGGTCGTGGATCATTGAAGGTATTCATCAAGATTACGAAGAAAGAAGTGTAGTCTGTCGTGAATCTAATAAGGGTCGGAAGGAATTGTCAGTTGTAGAATCGTCTATGTAACAATTCTCATAATTTGCAATTAATAATAAATCTAGACGACAAAAAAAAATAAATAAATGTGGGCTTAATTGTCTTTATGGCCCAGTTACCTTTTATCCGCATGGCCCAGTTACCTTTCTTATTCGTCGTTGCGCTGACTTTTGCTTCCTCATCCTCGTCTGAACTTCACGAGTTCTTGATGATTCTTTCTCTTGCGCAAATTCTTCCTCGATTGTTACAGGATCAAATTTGGATGAGAATTTTAAAATCCAAAACAAAAATTGGATGATAAGTCAACACATATACGTCTCATTCCAATAATGTTTACCAACCTAATAAAATTTCAACACATATAAATAGTATTATCTATTATGGGTAGCAGTGCGAGGTCTAAACATATTCTTTGAATTGTCTCAACATTAAAGAGCTCTGGCATCGACATTCTGGTAATGTCAGCAACATTACATCCAAGCATATTACTATATTCATATGAATAGTATCAGGGCCGGTTATATGCATGTGCAACTGGTGCATTTGTATTGGGTCCAACAAATTTAAGGTCCAAATTCATAGTTTTTATATTATTTAACTATTTAATTATGCTGAAATTTTATAAAATATCTATATGTAAAAACCTAAAATTCTATTTTAAAAAGTAATATTGAGGCCCAAAATTAATAAACAAAAATAATAGGTCCAAATAGCTATAAAATACAAAATAGTTTATGAAATATAACTTTTTGTTCTTTATCCAATTTTTCTTATTAAAGATAAGATTTTTTTTGTATGGCAGCGGGTCTTGCCGATGAGTGAACCGGATCTAAATAGTATGCTCAGCAACACATGAAATGTATAAACTGATTTAAGAATACTCAATAATATAATGACTGTATTCAAAATTCCAAATATAATTCATGCTTGTATGCTAACAAATATATTTTGGACCCTACAATATATACGAAAATTTTCATTGCAAACTTGTAAAGCAGGGTAGTCACAAATGATTTTCTTACACAATTTATCTAGTGAATACAATATATAAATTTGATGGTTTTGTTTAACCCTATTACATGCTCAAAAGATCTTGACGACCGCAAATTGAGAATTTCTCGTTGACCGCTAGCTAGTTCATGTCTGACAGCTTTCTTTGTTTGTAGTCTTGTAGGGGTCAATTGTCATGTGAATAGAATTGACTAATAAAAAACTCTTGATATTTCTGTAGGAATTCGTACCGGTTTATAACGATTTATAAATACTAATTACGAATTTAATTGTCAGGAACCGTGTAGATAAAGAATTAAATCTAGATCTTAGGTTTGAATATACCTGGATATTCTGCAGCGGAAAGGTGAACCATATTAATTCGAGGTTGTTTTAGCATCCCAAGTGTTGTGCCTTTACCGGTATCCACACGCACACAAACTGGATCAGAAAGGATGCTAGTCTCGTTGAGATCTAATCTCAAAACTTAGACAAACAATTTGTCTCTTATATTTTAGGGTTCAACAAGAATACTTCATGTCAAACGTAACACACATATCTATATATATGATTACTACGTTTAACCTAATTACTTTAGGTTTAGTAATGGGCTGAAGCCCAACTACCTTTATTTAGTATTCTACGTGCACATATATATGTATATCATATATCACATATATATATTATATAATAAACACTTTATTATAAATACACAAATATAAATATATATGTATATCTCATATAACATATATATTATATTATAATCCCAACATTGATTTAATCCAAATTAAACTCAATTATACTTTGATCCAATTTGCTTAGGTATGTGACCTTGTAGGTTCGTATAATATTAGCAATGAGTCTTAAACTCATAAATTATAAGCGGTCTCTAGCAAAACATTATAACCACCTAATATTATACGAATGTCAAACCTCGACATTTCAACTTCAATTAGAGTAAAGTACAAACGATTTCATGACATTCCCAACAATTTTTTGGTGTCTTCTCTTCATAACTTTTTTAGAACCAACCTCCAAAAATCATGCCGCTCATTGACTCATTTCCTTACTGAGTTATTTATGCAAGGCCTTGGTCTTATGGACTTGAGATTTAATGTTGGGCCTAACATCAAACGACTTGTCAAGATGGATTAGATTGTTTCGGGAAGAGACTATTTAAAATTTTAGTCACTATTAATTGATCGTACCTCGATTAAAACATATTTAACACCCAAAAAACTCAAAATAATAGGACTTCATTTGATTAAATATATTTATACTCATCAAACTTACTAAGTATATTTGATGGAGTCACACCACTAAATCATGAAATTGTATACTAAATCTATTAGTCTAATAGTAATAATCTTTTATTTATTGTATTAGTAGAAAGAAGCACATATTTTTTGCTTTAAGAACTTTAATAATTTGTATGAATCTTTAGAAAACCTCAGTTGTTTTCCAAAAGTAGCCTAAAAAGACTTTAAGCTCACGAATTTAAGTCACATGGATTTTTGTAATAATAAAACTAATGAAATTATAGGAAAACAAACGATATAATTTTTTATACACAATTTGATAAAAAGATAATAATATGATTTTGATAAAATGAAAAAGGAAATATGAATCTGATAAGATTTACACCGAAGAAGACAAATTAGAAAAAAAGGAAAGAATATACAGATACGTTAAAATGAAAAAGATATTTACGTCAATCTATTGATTATTAAAAGGTTAATTTTGTCATTAAAAGCAAAAGTACTTTGCCCAAAGGCGTGCTACGTCACGTAAATTATACAACACGATGAGGGCTTTTTGGGAATTTCATAATAAAGCTAACCTCATAATATATATCTTCTGCAATTCCGTCCACCCAAAACAACTGACATGGAAACTACTTTTGAGTTTAATAAAATAAAATCAATACTATTTATTCGGTCAACATTTTTATTTTGATGAAGTAAAATATTATTAATATAACGAAAAATACGTTTTCTCCGAATGAAAAAAACAATTTTACACAGAAATAATCTCTGACATATTTCTCAAGTAAAAAAAAAATCTGTACTTTTTCTTTTCATACATTAATAAATTAAACTAAAATAAAATTTAAAATTATTTATTAAATCGCTAGTTGCTATTAATCAGGAGAGCTGAGCTACTTCTAAATGCTTTTTACAGAGATGCTTTCTTCTTCTTCTTTCTCTCTCTAAAAACTTTGTTTCATTCTCTCTCTCTCTAATTTTCTTTTTGGTTTTTGGTTTGGCTTATTTGAAGTGTTTAATCTTATTCAGTTTCTGAGAAAATTAGGTGGGGAGGTGAAAAAGGGGAAAAATCATTGAATTTGGTTTCTCTCTGCTGTGCAATAATTTTCGGAGAGGATTGTGAAGAAGCTCTTATGTAAGAAGATATCATTATATAGTTATTACATGGGAATCTGACATTCTAAACAACTGTCTGTGGGGTTAATTTTGTCCAAGAACAACAGAGATGTCTCAGACCAACTGGGAAGCTGATAAAATGTGAGTTCTTTTTTTTTTTCTTTTCATTTTGATGGGTTTTGATTTTTCCTCACTTGTATTGTTCTGCTTGCTACTAAAGGTGTTAATTTTTGGTTGGGTTTTAGATTCTGAGTGTTTTTGAAGTGATTTCTAGGGTTCGGGTTTTATAAATGCGTTGTCTTTCTTCCGTACCCAGCTACAGTTTGATTTTAGGGTTTGTGTTCAGAGTCTTTAATTAAGTTTCAAAATTTTATTGCTTATACTTGATCTGGATTCCGCTGATTTTGTGGGTTTAGCTTATTATTTCAACTTGTTACATTTTTTTTTTTTTAGTTTTCTCCTTTTTGGACATTCGTGCTTTGTTTTGCCGTTAGAGGGGGGTTGTGTTACTTTGCGGGTTTCTCTAGTTTCTATTCTCAGAAAGCATCCTTACTAGATTTCTGTGGTTGGGGGAAACTTTTAGTTAGGTGAGTTTTGTATGTTTTGGCCAAAGTTTAGTTCTTTGTGTTGTCAGTCACTGTCAAGGAGCTTCAATTTTTTTTGGATAATTGGTTTATCCAATTCTGGTTGACTCTTGTGGCATCAGGTTTCTTTTTGTTACTGTCCCAATTTTACTCTTCTTTTTGGTATGCAAGTATGTGACTTTAAGCTCCATCAAGAAAGTTTCCTGATTTTGGTGTTTTTGCTCATAACTGGATGGTTTGTTTATGGGACATTGTTTAGTCGGAAGTTGTGCCCCTGTTTGGCGAGTGCCCTTTGTTGGATTTTAAAGACAAGTTTTGAATGTAACAGGTTGGATGTCTATATCCATGATTATCTGGTTAAAAGAGACTTGAAAGCTACAGCACAGGCTTTCCAAGCTGAAGGAAAAGTGTCACCGGATCCAGTCGGTAAGAAATCACGATCTTCTTGACCTTATTGGCTACGAATCTAATAAAGATTCTTTGTTCTGCAGTGTCTTTTTTCCTAATGACCTTCATATTCTTCTTGCATTGTTTTGTAGCTATTGACGCACCTGGTGGATTTCTGTTTGAGTGGTGGTCTGTCTTCTGGGATATATTTATTGCTAGGACCAATGAGAAGCATTCCGAGGTTGCTGCATCTTACATCGAGGTCTCTTTCTTTTTAACCCTGACCACTAGTAATTCTATAACTGCTCAAAGCTCCGATAGTCTCTTTATTTAGTGATATGGAGTTAGCACATTGGTTGTCCTTATTTGTTTACAGTTGAATTGTGTTCTCTCTTATCCTGTGTTTTCAGAGACGATTTAGGAGTTGTATATGTACAATTAGAAATATATTCTCCAGTTAGTATGTTAAGGATGTTTGACTAGGCTGGGGTATTTTCTATTTTGTTTTGATTAAGTTTATAAGATCTAAAATTGTGGGTGTGTGTTTACAGACACAGATGATCAAAGCACGAGAACAGCAATTGCAGCAATCTCAGCACCCACAAGTTTCACAGCAGCAGCAGCAACAACAACAGCAGCAAATACAAATGCAACAACTCTTGTTGCAACGTGCACAGCAACAGCAGCAGCAACAACAACAACATCATCACCATCAGCAACAACAGCAGCAGCAACAGCAACAACATCAAAATCAACCACCTTCTCAACAGCAGCAGCAGCAACCAACGCCTCAACACCAACAGCAGCCAACACCACAGCAGCAGCCACAGAGAAGAGACGGGTCCCACCTTGCAAATGGATCAGCAAATGGACTCGTTGGTAATAACAGTGAACCAGTTATGAGGCAAAATCCTGGGTCTGGGAGCTCCTTAGCTAGTAAAGCATATGAGGAGCGGGTCAAAATGCCTACTCAGAGGGAGTCCTTAGATGAGGCTGCTATGAAGGTTAGTTTAGGCTAGGCGTGTGTTTAAATTCCATTTCTTTTTTTTTTTACACCCTAGTTTCATCAAATGGTATAATACAAATTTTTGTTGGCTTCAGCGATTTGGGGACAATGTTGGGCAACTGTTGGATCCAAGTCATGCATCAATGTTGAAATCTGCTGCAGCCTCCGGACAGCCTGCAGGGTGCTGTTCTCATACTTCTATCTTCATTGTTTCCACTTATATCCTATGCTACCTCGCCTAGTATAAAATGAATATGTTGCATCGAAAAATCATTCAATATCTCTCTCTTGTTCTAAATGCTATTTGCTGGTGAATCACAGGCAAGTGTTACACAGTACAAGTGGTGGTATGTCTCCACAGGTTCAAGCTCGAAATCAGCAACTTCCTGGGTCTGCAGTGGTATGTAATATTGAATCTATTAGTCCCTTGTAGATGTTTACTGTTAGTTAATACTCACTGGCTTATTTGTGTTTAGGATATTAAAAGTGAGATCAATCCCGTGCTCACTCCCAGAACTGCTGTTCCAGAAGGATCGTTGATTGGAATTCCTGGTAGGTTTGCTGTGTTGAGGCTGAGTGTATCATTTCAGTAGGTTAAGCGTGACAAATGTAGTATAAGTACTTCAGCTCACAAGAATTTGATTAGGATTAATGACTGGTTTCCTGTTTCAGGTTCAAATCAAGGCAGCAACAACCTTACACTTAAAGGGTGGCCACTCACTGTAAGCTTTATCCATGCATTTTGATCTAGCTTGTCTCACTCCCTTCTCTCAAAAGAATTTTCTTTTGACTGCTGCTTTCTTTCCTGATCTAGGGATTTGATCAGCTTCGTTCTGGTCTTCTTCAGCAGCAAAAACCATTTATGCAGTCTCAGTCTTTTCACCAACTCAACATGTTGACTCCGCAGCATCAGCAACAGCTCATGCTGGCTCAACAGAATCTAAATTCACAGTCCGTCAGTGAAGAGAACAGAAGACTTAAAATGCTATTGAACAACCGGAGCATGAGTCTAGGAAAGGATGGCCTTGGGAGTTCTGTTGGGGATGTGCTACCAAATGTCGGATCGTCTTTACAACCTGGTGGCTCTCTTTTGCCTCGTGGAGACACCGATATGCTACTAAAGGTTGGCCTTGTCTTCTTTTTTTACAAATCTTAAGTGGTTGGCTTTAATGTCTTTCAAAATTTTGCTACTCTGAGTAAACTTTAAGAGTATTGTTTGGTAAATGTGGAAGAAGATATAATAATCTTTGCTCTTTTTCAATGGCTGTGACGTTTGTTCTATAGTTTTAATAATTGATTATGCTTTGTAGTTAAAGATGGCTCTGTTACAGCAGCAGCAGCAACATCAACAGCAGGGTGGTGGTAATCCACCACAGCCACAGCCGCAGCCACAAGCACTTAATCAGCTTGCCCTTTCAAATCCGCAACCACAGAGTTCAAATCACAGTATTCATCAACAAGATAAATTGGCAGGTGGTGGTAGTATTACGATGGATGGTAGCATGTCAAATTCTTTTCGAGGAAACGAACAGGTCTGTTCTTAAATTCCTGTTTCTTTTCCTAATTCATGTTTCAATGATCTGTTGCATACGTTTTTAGTTTCTGGTGAGTCTGAGGTTGGTTCCTAAACTTGTTTTGCATTTAATTGAAGGTATTGAAGAATCAGGGTGGGAGGAAAAGAAAGCAACCGCTTTCGTCTTCTGGGCCAGCTAATAGTTCAGGAACAGCTAACACTGCGGGACCATCACCAAGCTCAGCACCTTCTACACCTTCAACTCATACTCCTGGAGATGTGATTTCTATGCCTAATCTGCCGCACAGCGGTGGTTCCTCCAAATCAATGATGATGTTTGGCACTGAAGGAACTGGGACTCTTACATCTCCATCAAATCAGTTGGTGGGTTTTCTTAAGAGCATCTCCAATACCCTCCTCTATTTTGATGGGAAAGAATAAGGGTTTTTCTAATCAATATGAATTAGTAGCATTAATTATTGGCTATTTTGCAGGCTGATATGGATCGATTTGTGGAAGATGGGTCACTTGACGACAATGTTGAGTCTTTTTTATCCCAGGAGGATGGTGATCAACGGGACGCTGTTACACGGTGTATGGATGTTAGTAAAGGTGTGTGTTTTAGCCTCACTCAACATTATTCGACAATAACACGGTGAACTTTTCTTCAGTAAGCCAACAGTATTTCTCAATCACTACAATGATGGCTCTGCACTAGGTTTCACGTTTAATGAAGTGAATTCAGTACGTGCGAGCACAACCAAAGTTACCTGTTGCCATTTCTCATCGGATGGAAAAATGCTTGCTAGTGCCGGACATGACAAAAAGGTAAGCCAGAAATCATCATTTGGTCTTCTGGCGTTCTGAAACTTAAAGAGCCTCTTGGTTTGATTCATTTTGCAGGCTGTACTATGGTACACAGACACTATGAAGCCAAAGACGACCCTAGAGGAGCACACAGCTATGATAACAGATATACGTTTTAGTCCAAGCCAACTTCGCCTTGCAACTTCTTCGTTTGACAAAACTGTCAGGGTTTGGGATGCTGATAATGTAAAGTGAAAGTTGATCGATGGACTATGTTATTTTATCTCTCCATGAATATATATTTGTTTCTGACGTTGTGAATCTACTTTGCAGAAAGGTTATTCCCTTCGTACTTTCATGGGACATTCTTCTATGGTTACATCACTTGACTTCCATCCCGTAAAGGATGACCTCATATGTTCCTGTGACAATGATAACGAAATAAGGTACTGGAGCATCAACAATGGAAGTTGCACAAGAGTGTACAAGGTAGATTTTTTTCTCTTGAAAGCCAGTAGTTCAACATTATTTACCTGCTTAATTTAGCAAATAGATACATATAATTTCACTTTTTTCTTTCCACAGGGTGGCTCCACCCAGATGAGGTTCCAACCACGTGTTGGAAAGTATCTTGCGGCTTCATCAGCAAATCTTGTCAATGTACTAGATGTTGAAACACAAGCTATTCGACACTCTTTACAGGTTTAGCGTTCAAACTTTTCTTACTCGAGGTTGCTGATAGATGCTAATATGTACTACTAGCAAGAGAGCAACTAAAAAAAGGTTTACTAATTCGTCTTTATAGGGGCATGCTAATCCGATAAACTCGGTGTGCTGGGATCCTTCTGGTGACTTTTTGGCATCGGTTAGTGAAGATATGGTAAAAGTATGGACACTGGGGACTGGTAGTGAAGGGGAATGTGTTCATGAGCTAAGCTGCAATGGCAACAAATTCCAGTCATGTGTTTTCCATCCCGCTTACCCCTCGCTGCTCGTAATTGGTTGCTACCAGGTAAAGTTGAAATCATTACAATGTCTGATTAAAAAAAGTTTGTGAAAAAATTAATCTAAAAATCCCAACTTTACTCCTAAACTTGTTTGTGCGTGCAGTCTTTAGAACTATGGAACATGTCAGAGAACAAGACGATGACATTACCAGCTCACGAAGGGCTAATTACGTCGTTGGCTGTATCAACTGCAACTGGATTGGTTGCATCAGCTAGTCATGATAAACTAGTGAAGCTGTGGAAGTGAAAACTATGAGAGGAAAAGACATGTTTGTTCTTTAGGTATTATTATTAGTAATCATGGTTTTTTTTAACTTGTAGTGTTCTCTCTCGGCCATTATCTCGATCTCAAGATAGTTTTTCAGATATTGAACAAATGTTGTTGTATGATCTGACGAAATTGGGATCTTGAGAAATTGTGAAAAACTCTTGTTGTAATCTTCTTAGTCCTTCTGGCTCAGCTTTAATTTACTGACACTCTTCACTTTCGTTTGATATTTATATTTGAACGTTTTAAAAACTCTTAAGCGTTTTTCTAAACGCTTGAAATTTGAAATATGAGAGCCATCCATTACAGTTGAATCTTAGTTTGGCCGATTTGGTAGACCTTTGATTTGTAAAATTGTTGTATGTTGAAACTTGAAAGTATTTTTAGATGAACAAAACTACTTTGTCCAAAAAAAAAATAACAACACAAAAGTACACGCAAACGTGAAAAAGTTGTAATTGCCATTACAAAATCATCCCCATTCAATCGCAATGGCTCCACCGTATCTCAGATCGTTGTAATTGGGTGATGGAGAAAGACTTTAGCAGGAGCAAATGGTCACCCTACCCTACCCGAGGCCTAAGGCCGAAACTCCATTAAGCATAAGTCCTTTATAAGAAAGCCATAACTACTAGAATAACCAAAAGTCCGAAGACTTGACTCCAAGAGGCCATCTCGAAAAGTAAGCGAGGCGGCTAAAAAAGAAGCGGAGTAGTCGAAATCTTCAAAAAACCCAAAATAGATCATCACATGAACCAAAACTAGGAAAACAGTACAACAAAAACACATTACACAGACCCCATCTTTATCTTTCATTGTCGAGTCTAGTATAGTGAAGATGCATAAAGTACACATTTTTCCAGATTCGTTACCTACTACCGTGATGTTCTGAAATTGATGCTTCTTCTCGTCTCTGTTCTCAACCCTGATATAAACAGAGCCGTGCCTAGAGTAATGAAGGCCGGAGGCGAGTTGATTAATAATGTTGTATCGTTTAAAATAAATTCTTTAATTCGCAAAAAAAAAAAAAAACTACAATACAACATGAAAAATTTAAATATTGAAAATCAACTTAAAATCTGTTATCGTCTATATGCATATTTCACTACAGTTAAATTTAAGATAGTAGATTTACGGTGATGTGAACATGATTTAGCAATTAGTCAACATCCAAATACAGTAGCTGAAGAAAAGAAGTGAGCACAATTGTAAATTGAAATTTGACTTGTGAATAATTTGTACAAAATTGTTTCAAATCCTATAACTAAGGCACGGCCGTGGATATAACCATGTGTATACATACTTTTGGAAGTAAGCCACAGAGATCCAAGGTGCTATGGCTCTAGTATACAAGGCTTCATTCCACCATTCTTCTTTAGCAAATGTCTGAGAGCAAAGCTCCAAAAGTGGGACGAAATTGTAATCTTTACTAGTCCTTTTGGCTCAGCTTTAATTTACTGACACTTCTTGACTCGGTTTGGGTTGGTTTGGTTATTATACCTGAACGTTTTAAACACGTTTTTCTCTAGCCATCTATTTGGGCCTATTTAAAACTATACGCAAACGTGATAGTTGTAAACGCCATTACGAAATCCTAAACGCAAATTCAAAGTGTGAAAGTCGTCTTCTTTCAATCGCGATGGCTCCGTCGTATCTGAGATCGTTGTAATTGGGTGATGGAGAAAGACGATAACAGCGACAAGGTTAGCACTTTAGCAGGAGCTTCATCGAACTTTTTTGCTTAATTTTGATTCCTCAATCGAAGAATGAAATGTTCGAATGTTAAATTGATCCAAGTTCTGATATACTCTTAAACCTCAGGTTTGTCTTTCAGTGAAGGGGAAATGTACGTTAGAGCAGCCTGAGGAAATGGTGACATATCTGAAGGCATCTATAAGAGAATTGAGTGTGAAAGTGAACGAACAGGTGCTCTTGTTTCTTCCTTTCTCAGCAAATAAAAAGTCTCTTGTTTCTTAGTCTATCTTATGGTGTTTGTGATCAAACAGTGCAAAGGTTTTAACTTTTGTTTGCTATATGTAACTTAGAATCAGAGAAAATGTCATGTTAAGGATAAGCTTCAGCAGTTGCGAGAAAGGATAAGCAAGGAAGGTGTTGATGTTTCAGTCCAGGAGTTGATACCGCTTCTGAGATCATTCAAGGTAAATTAGTGTTGAGATCACTAGATTGTGAGTGACCCTATGTGGTGTGACCTTAATAGTTTTAGGATTATTCAGGAATTAGAAAAGGAGGAATCTCAAGTCCGGTCTAATTGTAAGCGTTCTGCTTTAGAAGATGCAGTTCATGGTTTGGAGGAGAGAGTTGCTAAGGGGCTTGATGGTGAGATTCACGAGGAAGATTTAGATGGTTTGTTGTTTGAATCTTTAGATAATCTCACTTCAGCAAAGAAGGTACTCTTTGTATCCTATAGACAGCCTCTATGCATCTTGTAGTTGATTCAGGTTTTTCCAAGAAGTTTATTGTTGCATTCCCTTCATTTTATTGTAGGAGCTTGCTGCAGCACTAAGAGAAATAGTGTCTCTGAAGCGACAGATTGATGATGTGCCATGCCAATCTGAACTCCTCCAGTATGCCCTTCTTCATTTACTTCCTTACTTCTCAGATAATCATGCTCTGGATTTGGCACTTTGTATTTGTGTACTCCTTCGCGTTGAAACTCTTCCATCTCAACAATGAATCTGATTCAACACTACTCCCTCTGGTTTTATGAGCAAATATCTGTATGCTGTAAATATATGGAATCATCATGTCAGGAATCAAGTTGATTTGCCTCTAGCTTTTAGGAATCCAGTTTCACTATGGCTAATTTCCCACTTGCTGTATTTGTTTCACGCTAAAGTCCAGTATTTCATTCCATGCAGATATGAAAGAAGATTCTCAGAGCTGAATGTCTGTATTCAGGTTCGAATAGTCAAATTAATATTCGCCTCGTTGCTTTGCAGGTTTTTTTCGTAGTTGAAAATGAACTTTCTAGCTTGACGGACATTTGTTTGATTTCTGACTAAAAACAGGAGAAACTTCAACAAACTAGGAAGCTCTATGCAACATACAATACGCTTTTAGAAATCAAAGATTTGATGGTAAAGGAGACATCACTACTGAATTCAATTGGTTCACAGGTAAAAGATTTTCGGTAACTAGAATCATCTACTTTGTACTACTTTGAGAAAAGCTTAGGTTCATTACCAAGTTTGTTTACGTTTCTGCTTTCCCCTTCCAGTGTAACTCTTGGCGAGTCAAAGTTTCACCATAATTCTTGATTAACTGTTGATTTGAATGTAGTTTGAAGACGTGATTGGTACACCTGCTGGCCGTGTGAAGCTTATTGATTCAATGGAAGGAGTCATGAAAGGAATCCAACAGGTAATCTGAGTTATATTCATTCAGGTATTGAGGTACACAGCATGAACTAGCCCTTGCACATAACGATAGCTGTACGATTTGTCATAACAAAATGTTTAAAGTGCAGAAGATAGGAAAAGTACAACTTGGGCTTCAAGAAGAGCAGAGGCTCCGTGATGCTTCAAAAGAAAAGTATGTAGCAGCAGCTGCAGAGCAAAGAAAATGCTACACTGTACTAAGAGCATTCCAGGTTAGCACAAAAGAGGAAATAAGTATTTATACTGGAAAACCCGAGAGTCAACTACTTGATGACTTATGTAGTGCTAAATTACTCAATGGCAGGAGGAATGTACTAAGAATGAGAAGCTGAGGAGTCATATATCTGCTGTAAACACCTCTGACTCCAAAGAAGGGGTGGAATAGGGTATATGAAGTGGCTCTCCTTTCTAGTTTCAGCTAACCAGTGTAGAGCCAGAGTTGATTTAGACATGATTCTCTTGTGATATGCTGTATCCATATGCTCAGCCTTGCACGGAAATATACGAAAATTTATAGGCCTAGAAATAGCAGGTTTGGTTGACCAAATGGTTATAAGCCATGAGAAACTATTATACTCTAAATAAGTTTGAATACAAACCTAGAAAGGTACAGAGCATTGTACAAAGCTATTAAACAAATAACAACTTAGAACCAAAAAACTGAAAAAAAAAAACAACTTAGAAGGAGAGCCACACTCATCGTCTCTCATATTCAGACTTAAATCATGTGGCTTCTTTTTCAGGATCTGATATGTGAACCGGATCTCTGATATCTCGTCCCCTTGAGATGATGCTTCCTTGATGTTATCTACCTGCAAATCATATATGCACATGGTTTTATGGCCTGAGCAAAAAGATTCAAAGCTGATAAAACCCAGAGCAGTTGATAACTCTTTATTTTTGTATCCTCAGTTTGTTATATCACAATGCAAAATAAGACCTGATTACTCTACTCCACTGTGTATTTGTAAGAAGCTAACCAAAATTTCTGCTAAAGTCTGATTTTCTTTATAAAGAAGTCACCTGGTTGTGTAAAGATCCGGTGACAGGCACTGGAGGTAGGTTGATGACTCGGCCTTGCACGAAACTCCGGGGGCATTTGTGGTGTTTCTCTAGAGCTGCCTCCTTCATACATTTGGCCTAGTTTGTATGGACTGTCACTTGTGTTGTTCTTTGACTTCGGTTTATGAGACAAACCCGTAGACCATGAGCCCCCGCTTGATCCTGCCAAGGCCATTATCACATCCGCCTGCAAAAAAATAACATTCATGTGATGAACTTCCCAATTTTTCTACCTTTTTAGATATCAAAATGTGGTCAAATAAATTGAATATCAAGTGTGTAAGTGTTAGGGATAATCACCTTGTTTGGGTGAACATCATCAAAGACATGAGCTTGACCGCCATAGAAGATGGTCATTTGCTTAGTACTAGACGCCAAGTCTTTCCGATTTCCGGTACTGCAAATACAGAGTGTATTGAAATGACTCGAAGACAATATCAAAAGACCAGAGACAAAACATAAAACACTAGCAGCTAACTGACCTTGAAGGGGAAAAACTTTCGAGCTTGCTCGAGCTTGGCATTGTAAAAGAACTCAAGATACTGGGACCTTTCATCCCTGTTCGTGAACCTTCATCAGCAGCTGTCTGAGCAATAACTGATAGGCCTACGTTTTCATCTTTAAATCTGCTTGTAGACAGCTTATGAAGCAAATGACTGATCTGCCCCCCTCCGCGTGGAGGCTGGTTTGCCAAAGGATTCACATTCATGGAGAAGCTTCCAGGCCCGTTTCTAAGTAACTATGTTATGACAATGACAGATTACAGAAACTGAGTTTTATGTAGCTGTGAACATGGGTTGTATAGGTTCTGTTTTTTTGTTTTTTTACCTTGGACCAATGCAGAGTCTCTGGGTGCTCTTGAGTTGTGAAGTGTGAATCCGAGTTACTTCTCTTGTTTCCTGAAAATCGATTGCTCATGATTGAGCCAGAAGCATCACTTCTTGGTCCAAACACTTGTATCCCATCAAGATGATTCCCTCCACCGCTGTGTCTTTCGACTAAACAATGATAAAATATGGATAAGTAACTTAAAGATTGTTGAGGCAACTCAAGGAGAGAGAGAGAGAGGGAGAAAATGAGAGGTATTAAAGAAGGCCAATTCATATAAAAAGCATCACAACCTCAAATGGCTATGACCCACCAAACTCATCAGTCAAATTCACTCTCACTGTCCCAACTAATCATCCACCAGAGGCATTATGTTTGGACAGAGAGATAGATAGGGAGGGAGAGTCCTTAACACAATAACACTACTAGAGTTCAATCAACCACATGCTCACACACAATCCATTTTCATATTTATAAAATTTCCAAACTAAAAAACAATATGGCAAGAAATGAAACAAGACAATGTACATTCACATTTTGTTCAACTTCAACCCCAAAGATGTGTTCCATTTTCTACTTAGGAGATCGAATCATAAATGAATTGACTAAAAAGTTGAAACTAACTCACATGACCTTTTACACTTTCAAATCATGGTGAATCAAAGCTCGATCGTTAAACCAGACTAGCAAAAAGAAAGAATGGAACTTTAAATCGAATCTATTTACCAAAATTTAAACTTTCCGTAGATAGAAACCCTAAATGTACAGAGGAGTATCAGCTCAAAATCACTATAAGCACACTTCAACAAGAAAAAAAACATCAAAGAGAGTTAGAGACAGAGCAGAACCGAGATCGGAGGTTGAGGAGAGACCGCCGCGTCCACCGGCGGTGGAAGCAGAAGCCGTAGAGGGAGTCATCGCCGCTTTATCCGTTGGTAGCCTATGGTCAGCCATGGGAGTGGAGGCTAAAGTTGGAGTCTTGGAGCCTAGAAAGTCATGGAACAAGAGCTTATCTTGTTCTGTCTGTCGGAGACGAGAATCAATATCAGTGGTTCGCTGGCCAATGTTGTGGTTCACCATCATCAAACCAGTGTGTCAGTGTGGCCACTTCGCCACCACATCCTCCGTTACAGTCTCTCTCTGGCAGAGTATTATTTCATGGACACACTCAACGAGAGAGAGAAAGAGAGATATACTACTATTTATCAGTTTTTTGTTTTTTTTTTTTTCTGGGTAAGTGTAAAATAAAGGTTGTCTTTTTGTTCTTCAAGCTACTTTATTGGGTTTCTCTTACATGATTTTAATTCCCTTTAATATTATAATAATCACATCTTTCAAATGAAATACTATGATTTAAAAGTTCAGCCAACATATGTACGATTGTAAAATCATGGCATCATAGACTACATTAAGGTTATCATAGATTCATAATGTTAAAGATACACACTTTATTGATTTGAGAAAGTGACTTTGTGTATCTAATCTATAACCAACACACTACTAACCTATCCGCTTCCAAAAATAATTAGTTCGTAAGTTAGTTGGTAAAGTTGTCAAGAACATAATTTGTTGTAGTACAAGTGTTAAATATTTTACTCATATGTGGTATTTAGCTCGATTAGTTAATTAATATTTGCAAAATTGTAAGGAATTTCAAATTACCCGCCAAATAATCTGTTTCAAAATTTTAACTGCAAAACTAAATGCATATAATCTTTACCTAAATAAATGGTTAGGTAATTCTATAACTTACAAAAATAAAACCTCATGAACAAGTTTTAGCATTACGTGCCAAATTATCAAATTTAAAATTTAAAATATAAGAGAATAAAAGAGAGTCAAACATAAAATACTTTCAACATTGGTAAAAATAAACTTAACCAAACTTAAATAGCAATCTAGGCTCATTTGACTGCCTAAATAGTTGTAAGTGATCTTAATAGTAATTTCCATATATATATATATGGTTTTGAGATGAGAGTTGTTGAATTTTGAATTGTTAGTGTTTGATTTCTCACTCTAATATGAGTAGGAGAGAGGAGAACTCATGAACCAACCACTCATGACGAATTTCTATACTAATCTGAGTAGGACATTAAGCTGTTTTTGAATGTAAACGATTTTACAACTACTCATGACGATTTTCTCACTTCCCAATGCTCCTTTGATCAATTCTACTTTTTGCAAATTTCTAGGGTTTATTAATCGAACTATAACCAAAAAGGAAAAAGAAAAAAATTAAGGGAAACTATCTTATTACTAAACGCCCCTTAAAAATGAACTTGTGGGTAGGACGATCAAAGAGTTAGAAATAAAAATATATATTTTGCCAGTGTCAATGAAAATGTTAAGAATTGTGTAAAATAACTCGTTTATTCATTAACGTAAAATGTATATGAGTGAATTTTCTTAAACAATCATCGGTTCAATATATTTAAGACGGTTATTGAAACCATCAAATTAGTATTAGCTGGTTTTTTAATTAACTAGTCTCCAGAATGTGATTGGGTTGGTAGAAGTATAATTGTCTTTTATTATGGGAATTGGGAACACGTGTTGTTTTTCTTGTTCTTACACAAACCTTAATTACATGTTTGTAGTATGGAGGCTTAGGATTCTGGTTAATGTGTGATTTATCTTTACTGTACACGTATTAAAATATTAACTGTAAAACACCAAGGGTAGCCCCTGGCATAATTTTTGTTTTTTCTTCCCTAGTAATGCTTTTGTTCAACTAGTTGAACTAAGAAATCGATTTGTTACTTGATGAATAATAACTGTCAAACTCGCAACATGACAAGTTAAACTATTTACTGGATTCTAGTTGAAAATAATCCCATAAACGATGATGATGTTGATAGTTAATGTTGATTAAATGGCAGTAAGGTGGCGAACAAAGTACTGTATATGATTGTTTGCAAAATTGGTCATCTCACTGTTGATCTGCTTTCTTGTTTCCCACTTAATTTTCTTGGTATCTCACATAAAATCTAAATTCGTTTTTTCTAGACATTTTTTAACTTCAGGACCCAAAAACAATGCATACTACACAATAGATGCTTGCTTCCCTCATCACATGAATCATCAGAAATATAAAATAACTTTTAGTTACATAAATGTCTTTAAAATTGCTCAATCCCAAATTATATACAAGGAATTATAGGAGATGGCTTGTTGAATCATGGATAAAAATTAGCATTGTTTATAATCCAAAACTCAAAAGATGTTTAAGAAATAAGATAATAGTTTTAAGAAAAGTATAAACAAACAACTGAAAAGAAAAGTTAAATGGGCTTGTTAATGGGTTAACAAGAGAGACAAAAAGCCTTATAACAAGTAGAGGATGAAGTCCACATAATTCGTGGTTTAGCTTTAGTTTCTGGAATCGTCGTACCAAAACTCGTCGCCGGAGACCGGAAGCTAAAACGGGAAGATATGGCTTCGCTAGGTTTCAACCTCGGCTTCACCTTCTCCAGTGCACAAATTCAGCAGCATCGAAAAGTTTCCGGAGGTGGAAGGGTTCGCGTTATCTCATGTAACAGCTCGTCTTCTTCTTCTTCTTCTTCTCAAGCATCATCCCCGCAGGGGATTTCTGCAGCGACACCTCCTGAGATAGAGCTCGAGTTCTTCGGTGTAACTATCGGTGCGATTTTCTCGTTGAGTTCCGTTACAATTCGTTTCTAAACTCAAAAAGAGATTTTTTTGTGTTTTTCTTTGCAGCCGAAGCCGGGGAGCGACGGGTCGTATCCGGTGGATAAAGCCAAGGCTGTGAGCGGAGAGAAGCTTCTGAGAAGCATTATGCAGGATACCAAAATCGAACTCTACGCTGCTTACGTGAGTTTTGTTGATTTATCTCTCTTTCATCTTGAAATTTGCTCCATCTTAATCCATTGAAGTTTTGATTTGATGTTTGAAATGGATTTCAACTAGTTTCTGGAACAATCTAGTAGCCAATCGAGTATTTAGTTCTAGATTTTCGAGCTCTGTGTATTAGGAGAGAATGTTTTGTTAAAGGCTGATGTAAACTTTGGATATTGATCAATTTGTGATGATTAGGGAAAAGTCATGAACTGTGGAGGTGGAGGAAGCTGTGGAACTTGCATTGTGGAGGCAAGTGACTTCTTATTTAGATTATGATTATGGATTGGTGATCTTTGATTAACCTAGCATTCATAGATATCAATGGAGGAAAAGAGATTTGTGTTTGGTCTTCTTATCATGAGCAATATCTCAGAGCAAAAAATACACATTTGGTCTTCTTGTGTGCAGATACTAGACGGCAGAGATCTTCTGAACGAGAGAACAGATACAGAAAACCGGTACCTGAAAAAGGCTAGTTATTTGATCACTCCTCTCTATATTATTCTTTGATTGCTAGTGTTTGGATTGGGTGTGTGCACTAACAAGATGAATGAAATGTTGAGCATTGTCTCCGGTTAAATGTGAATATATGGTTTTTTTGTCTGATGTGGTGACTAAGTAACTTTTCTTAGATATGCAATGCAAATTCAGATAAATATAAGAACCTTGCCTGTTTAATTCTTAAGACTTTCTTACTATTGTGCAGAAGCCGGAATCTTGGAGACTCGCATGTCAAACAATAGTAGGGAACAAAGAAAACTCAGGAAAGGTACCTACTTTCAAACACCAATTTATGCATATGCAATTACAAACGCGAATGTGCCCAATTTTTGGGGATCAATCTTTATCATGTTTAGAATCGTAAGAGTGTTTTCTTTTAAGACCTTTGTCATTGAGATCAGTCGGCTTTGGTTTTAGGTTGTCGTGCAGCGGATTCCACAGTGGAAGAAGTGAATCAACCAGTGAATCAATGTTAAGCCTTATTCGTTTCATATATTTATGTGTACATAACACATCTCTGTATGTTGTCTCGTATTAGTGAAGATACGTTCGTCTATCTATATGGTGGTGCCATGATAGTGAAATTTCTATTGATAAGAAATAAAATCAAATAACGGGAATTATAGAACTTGGTTTTAGTATTCGAACCGTTTCTTTGACAACTTTCAGACCACTTTTTTTTTTTTTACCGAAGAGACAACTTTTACAACATGTGATTAGATTACGCGCCGCCCCATAAAACGGGGGTAAAGTCAAAAAGCAACATCTTCTTATTTTTATTTTTACTGTTTTCTTGTTGTCAAAGAAAAAAAAAAAAAAGAGGAAGGAGCCAAAGAAGCATCACTATCTGAATTTTTCTTGGTATTTATTTATATATAATTTTTTTGTTTGTGTGATTGCTGTTTGGCTTCGAATTTTATATCCAGATAAATATTTTTTTAATCTCCTTGGTTGATCGGTGAACACAAAAAAAAAAATCTAAAATAATCGCAAAATACATTTTGAAGAAGCTACACGATCAACGACAACAACACAAGGATTTCGATTGCTGAAAAAGTTGACTCTTCTTAATTGGATTCGTTGTCTTGGTTTCTGGGTTTTCTTCTTCTTCTTCTGCGGCGCTCTTCAATTTTACCTTGCGACCAGCGAGAAAAGAAAAAAAATCATCCATTGAAGAAGGTTTGTTCCCCCAATTGCTTGATTTTCTTATGAAATTAATTCCAGGTGCCAATTAGGTTTTGCTAAATCTGTCGATGACGTTTTTTTTTCTTTTCTGGGGGTACTTCTTTTGTTCTGATAAATCTTTGCCCTTGTACGCTTTTTCTTTGTTTTTGCCCTAATTTTATGGGATAATCTGGGTGAGTTTCTTTCCTTCAAATTATGTATAATTGAGCTTGGATTGATCGGTTCCGATGAGTCAAATCCTGAAACAGACATAAATTGATGATTTTTCGTGGTTGGTTTTTGGTCATTTGAGGGTTTAAGCTTTCTCTATGTAACTGCAGGACCTTAGGTTAAGCCCCATGGTGTGGTATGTGCAAATTGGACAAAACCTAGATGGGTGTTTCTCTTCTGAAACAACAACATCGTATTACTAATCAAGCTGATACTTTTTCTAGATTCATGGAAAGATCACCAGAGAATAATCTTAGCCGAAATGAGCACATCATCATTGACATTCCAAGAAATGCCGCCATTGCATCATCATCTTCATCTCATGATAGAATCTCCAATGTTTTGGAACCTTTACAACATGAGGACGATAGACCTTCAACTGTTCCTCCCATGTCTGCTCCTCAGCCAGCTACAGCTACAGCTTCTTCTTCTTCTTCTATGCGATCAAATCCTAGAAGTGTCCGTCGTAGAAGAAGTCCTTTAAATTCTGGCTTATGGATTTCTATTGAACTATTCCTCACCGTTGGTCAGATCATTGCAGCTATTGTCGTTTTGTCTTTGTCAAAACATGAGCATCCTCGTGCACCCTTGTTCACCTGGATTGTGGGTTATGCTTGTGGATGCGTTGCCACACTCCCACTTTTGTACTGGAGATATTATCATTCGAATCAGGCTTCTGAACAGGATTCTGGCCAGCATCGTCCTAATCTTAATGTTGCAGCTGGACCTTTCGCCTTCTCGATTTCCAGGACATCTGAAGGAGATGGTCGACAGACTAATACCACCTCTTCTCGTGTTAGTAGATATCCTGGGTTCATAAGTGCTGCCAGGTATATATACATGTTCTTAGATGATCTGTTTCAACTGGAAGTTTGGATTTCAAAACTTTTTCTTTTAGTTGACAATATCTGCAATCTAATTGAGTCAGTCTGTCTTATTAATGATTGCTACTCTGAGTCACTGATTTGAGTCTTTGATTTTGGCTTCCAGACTTAAAGTTATCGTGGAATACTTCAAAATGGCTCTGGATTGCTTCTTTGCGGTGTGGTTTGTGGTAGGTAATGTATGGATATTTGGAGGGCATTCATCTGCTGCCGAGGCTCCTAACTTGTACAGGTGCTATTCTATTAGATATACTGAAATTAGACTCAAACTTCAGGCTGCAATTTTCCAAGACTGACCCATATTTTTGTTCTCTTGTATGTTCTAGATTATGTTTAGTGTTTCTTACCTTTAGCTGTATTGGCTACGCGATGCCCTTCATCCTCTGTACAACAATATGTTGTTGCTTGCCGTGCATAATCTCAATTCTCGGATATAGAGAAGATTTAACTCAACCTCGAGGTGCCACACCTGAGTCGATTAATGCATTGCCAACTCATAAGTTTAAGTTGAAGAAAAGCAGAAGTAGTGGCGATGACAATGGTTCAAGTACTAGCGAAGGTGGAGTCGTGGCGGCTGGAACAGATAACGAACGTGCTATTTCAGGAGAGGATGCAGTGAGTTTTCTTACACTTTGACATTACACACATAAACACACACATACAATCAAGTCTCTGAATATAAAAATTGTTTGCAGGTCTGTTGCATTTGCTTAGCGAAATATGCAAATAATGAGGAGTTGAGAGAGCTTCCATGCTCACATTTCTTCCACAAAGAGTGCGTTGACAAATGGCTGAAGATCAATGCCTCTTGCCCTCTTTGCAAGAGCGAAGTTGGGGAGAAGAACTCTGATTTGACAAGCCAAGGGATCTTGAGCTCGCTCTCTTCTGGGGAAAACGATAACCATCAACAACAACAACGGAGTGAACTTAGAGTTGATAATGGTTTGGCCAATAATGTTATCTAGATCTCCGAGATTTGCTGTGTTCGAGAAAACGGCACAAGAAAGCTGTTTTGCGATGTTCCTACACAAAATGGGGTTTGCTTCTCATTGCTAAGAAGGTGAAGAAAGACACAGCGAAGATCCTGTTCTGTAAATGCTTTTTGCCGTTGTGAATTGGAACCTCTGAGTGTAGAAGAGTTCGATAATCGGTGATTGAGTTTGAGCGTGTTCCAAATACTTGTTTTTATATATTCTCTGAATTTGTCACGAGTACCACCTCTATACTAGAGCCTGGAATCTTTCGAGAGACCCTGGAAAGCTTGTGCAGCTAAATTGCCTCATTCGTGGACCCTCGGCGTAAAATTGGAATAAACCAAAAAAAAACTTTATACCTTTATACTGGGGGAGCACATAACTTTTTATGACTTCCACGATTTTAGTTTCTTAATTTTTAAATTACAAGACATAGACTTCTTGGTTCTCTAAAATCAGTGTGACAACCGGTGGTAACTTGGAACAAGAAGCATAACGATCATAATAGTTTTGCCTTTAGTACAGAGAGCTCACATAGTCGACTAGAGTGAACTTTTTCTTAACATTAATCTCGGATGCATATGTTTCTAAAATGGTTTGAAAGCAAAAGTGATTCAGTTTCCGAAACATTTAAAAGCGGCATAGTGCCCAACTAAAACAATTAACCGCACAAACCGATCCAGAGACCGAAAAGATACGTCCTTCTAAGCGGTGTTTTCTGCAGATGGGTTTTCATGAACAAACGTGCCAACTGATTTGAACCATCGCAGTAGGTTACGGTGATCCTTTACATAGAGCCATGCCTGAAGAAACGGGAAGAGACTCTCGTTCACACCTCGTTCCTCTAGGTATCCATGGAATACATCTCTCATCTTCTCATCGAGCTCTCTGTCAAAACAAATAGAAACATTTACTTGCCAATAGAGTAAATTTTCTATCAATTGTGAGTGACTTGTAATATTTAGAACAAAGAAAACAGAATGCTGAATTGAATGCACAAACGCTCTTCTATTCTAAATTGAAAGAAGAATGTAAAGAACAGGCCAAAGACTAATCCATAATAGAAACAAACTGATTGTGTGTCAATAGTGAGAGATTGCACTGCAAATATGTCACATGAGAAAAAGCAGTAACTGAAATTGAATAATCGAAATAACTAGAAGACTAGAAGACATCTACCAGTACCACCATTCTATTCTACAATTACATTCCTCAAAGTCAACCAGAAAATGACCAAAACTATGGTACAAAAGAGTAAAGTTGTTACTTGAAATCATCCTTCAGAAAGTCAGAGACTATTTAAAAAACTTCGATAAATTTAGTTGGCCTATTCTTAGTTTGACAGTTCTGAGTGTAGCAAGAAGAGACAGCTTGAAACAGAAATGAAGCACCTAAAATGGCCACTGACAATCTTTAAGTTGTCAACCATCAACTGAATCACTGAGCAAGTCTCTCAATTCAAAGAGAGAAAGTCAGTTAAAAAGAGAGATAGAAACTCACTCAAAAGAAGGGCCAGTGTATTGAGTAGGATCATCAGACATCTCCAAATCCTCGAGTTTAGGCCTCATCGAAACAGAATGAATACCCAAAGCATCAGGGTAAAGACCGCAAAGGAAATGCAAAGAATCAGCCTGATTTGGCTTTGATACAGCCACATGAAGGAACAATTGGTTGATCCCATCATCATCTTCTTCATCACCTCCGTGAGCCAAGCGCATAACGAAAAGACTGATCTCTTCATTTCCAACAGATTTCTTCAGAACAGCACTAGTACTTCCTTCAAGAGACCCTTTCACAATCTCAAATGGTGAAGGAGGACTCACTTTCTGCAAAATCAATCAAAATCGGTAAATCCCACCAAAAACCCTAAGTGAAGGAAGCAGCAGCTAGGGTACTGAAATTTCAGACGAAACGTAGAGAGAAACACAGAGAGAGAGAGAGAAGAGGAGGAACGAACCGGAGGAGGGGTCATCTTAGAAACTTCGAGATAATGTTCCTTAAGGGAACGCAGAAGCATCGAATCCACTGCAGCTGAAACGTTGCCGCTCTTTCCACTTCCACCGGATTTACTGGATAGCGCTCGATGTAACTGACGCCGGACGGCGACATTTCCGATCACTCTTCTCCACATTTCTACTTCTCCGTCGTTGAGAGCAGCAACACGGCGAATTGTCTTAGGAGAGTTAATAAAATACCCAACTTCTTTTTCCGTCGAATAAACCGCAAGAGAGACAAATTTTTTAGGTTTCTCAAATATATTTACGATGGTCTAGTTCTTTTGATTAACAATATATTAAAAAAAAGTCGATCCAAGTTTGATACAACAAAAGTCAGCTATTTTTTAATCAAACATAAGATTAACAAAAACAGTTGGATACTACCGGTTAAAAAATCGTTTAACCAAAATGACTCTGTTCTTACAATTAACCAAAAGTCAATTCAAATGATTTTGTCGATTCAGCGAAGATCAAGCACTAGAAATGGTTATGGGAGATAAAAAAAAGGATAACCATGATGAACAAAGAATGTATGTAAAAAGAAAATTCAAACTTCTTGTCATGTTCCATTGTGATATGATTGAAAGATCCAAGTCATCATAACTCTAAAACACGACCCAACCACATTCCCATCAAAAGATTTGTTCAAGGCAAGTAAGTCTCATATGAACAAAACCTATGTTCATATCACAACGCTGGGTGGATTGATTTCTTCACCTCACAGGTTGCTGATTGTAGTTTTTCTTTTCTTTTTTCTTCGCCGCGGCCAACTTTGCCTTCCTCGCAGCTGCTTCCTTTGCGGCGGCTGTTGAGGCACCATCCACCTCTTTGCTTGATTTCTTCTTCTTCATTGATGCAATCTTCTTTAGACGTTCTTTGACATCAATGGAAGAAGAAGACTCCTCCTGCTCAGCTGACTCACTTGCAGCATCTGAGTTGCTCTTCACTTCTTTTAGCTCTTTCTGTTTATCCTTCTTTTTCTTCTTCTTTGAGGCCTTTGATTCTCCGGTTGTGTTCTCCTTCTTCTCTCCTTCACCATTCACTTCTTTCTTCTCTTCCTTATCTGTTAGGTATTTGCAGAAGTATTATTAGCTATAACATGGTTTTCTCAGCCAGTGATACGTCTATGTAGAAAGGTGTCCACAGATAAATTGCCAACCAGTGAATGTAGTAGAGTAGAACTGATACCAACGATCGAATACAAAAAAAGTGAAATACCTTGAGAGTCTTCATGACCATTCTCATCTTTGGGGGCAACTCCTAAATCTGCTAACAAAGCCTCAAGCTCAGCAAGTTCCTTCTTTTTCCTCTCTTTCTTGGAAAGTTGCCTCTCTGCCTCCTTAGGAGGTGCAAGAACTTCAGGAGCCTTTTTCACCTCAGGCTCTGCTTCTGGATGAACTGTCTCTGTTCCCTGCTCATGCTCTTCCTCCACATCGTCATCATCTCCTTCATCAAGAGTGTCTTCTTCGCTTTCACTTTCCTGTGACAGGACGCATCTCTATGAGAAACCAATGAACAAATAGGCACACAAACCACGGTTTACAGAAACTAGACGCAAACTTATATTGCCTAGAGAAAATTCCATAGCAACAAAAGTATACAATAAGATATATGATATAACCTCCAGGAGACAAAGCAGCTTACTTCACAGTAACATTCATATCCCTTTCAGACAATACAACAAACCATGGAACACAATCCCTTTGACAATACAACAACCATGGAACATATACATTCAACAGGTACAAAGCCTAAGCGAGATATCAACAACAGCAAAAAAAAGAAGCCAAATCATTCGATTCCAAAAAGCATATGAAATCTAAAGAGACTTATTGCAAGAGACACAGTTTAACAATTTTGCACTCTCCCAAAATCATTAGTGAAAAAGGATATATGAAAGATTTGGACTTGTGACCTCAGCGTGAACGTCTTTAGCATCGGAATGGGAGGCTTCAGAAGTGCTCCAAACGGACTGAGGTGGAGCAGAGGTAGCGTAATAGTCGTCATCTTCATCGTCGCTATCGATATCGGCCCAAGCCTTTGCTTTGAGAGGCGTAGGTGCCCAGAAGAGCTGTGGCTCAGGCTCCTTTTGTGAAACTTGTCCCTTAGAGGAAGCTTTGCTCTTACCAGCCTTATCTGACTTCTTCTTCTTCCTCAAAGTATCCAAAGCAGCAAACAAGTTGGTGTTCTGAATCGGCATCGATCCCTCATCTCTCCTGTTTCCACCACCAACCATCTTTTTTTTTTCCTCGATCACCAGTCACAAAGTGTTTTCTGATAAAACCCAGAAACGAAATTTCACAATTTCAGCTGGAAGTCTCGAGGAACGTAACGAAAACGGAAGATGAATCAATGTCGAGTAAGTTAAGGTAATGAAGGAGAGAGAAGAAAAAGTTGATCAATTGTCGCTGTTTTCTTACGAAAGGATTGATCTTTAAAGCAAATTCCTTGAAAACTCTGATGGACGGCGATTGAAGAGAGCGATGGATGATAATAACTAGGGTTCCAGACACAGAAACGACAAAATATATACTGGTGATCAAAAAGAAGCGTATTTGGAATTGAGACAAGGAGAAACAAGAGAATGTTGGAAGCTTCGGGAAGCGAATTCTTATCGAATGCGAGAGAGATAATTAGGGTTTCTTAAGGGAAGAGGTGTGTAGCAATCGTAGCGATTAGAGCTACTGGGCTACACGACAAGGTGGTAGCACAAGGGAAGGGGATCTCGTCTCTCTGTATTAGGGATGTTATCTTCTCTCCTCTGGATTAAACCGAAATTTTGATTAGAAAATTGAACCGAACATTGGATTAGACTGTCTGATTAAACCTTGTTTTGATTTTTAACACAAGATTGGTTTTTCTTATCTTTTCTGTATTTATATCATTAAATTAAAAGCTAATTTAAGTTGCAATATAATCTACCCGCCAAAATATTTTGTGAATTTTTAACGGTTTTTTAAATCCAGATAACGGAATTTTTGTATTTTTATGGTTTTTTTTTATAGATTACTCGTTATGTTAAAATTTTATGAAACGTTTACGGTGGATTTAGTTCATATTTTAAAAGGAAACCAAATCTCTTTCTTTAAATTATTTTTAAAACTTAACTTCATCCAAATTATCTAAATAAAAACCTTATAACTTATAAGGAATCAATTCATTAATACATTAGATAACGATATTTTAATATAAAACGGATACATGAACACATAGGAAACTAATGTATTTTTACACGTTTTTGGTATTTAAATTTGTTTAATGTTTTAGTTTTTTTTTTAAAATAATATTTCTTCTAGTAAATATTGACAAATTGTTAAGCTAAAAATTAGATGTTAGAAGAAAGTAACCAAAAAAATTTAGTAATAGTATTATAAAAGTAATCAAAAAGGAGAACTATTCAAAAATATTTAAATGTGAAAACTATATCCCCTAGTAATAATAGTTGTTAAGTTGAATGATGTCTCTAACAATTGTTGGCTAGGTGGACACACACAAGATTGCGGTAGGTTAGCAACACACGTGACAACAATAAATTATTTTCTCTCTGAAGAAATCTTTAAATCCTGACCGTCCAAACAAATATTTCGCAGCTGAGAATCCCAAACGTCCATTATATATTTTCTGTTGTAGAGTTAAAATTTCGAAACTAAATCTGGACCGTAGATTTAGTAACGCGTCTCGATCGGACGGTATCCGTAATACGATGTTTATTTGGAAAATGTTTTCTTTATAACTGAAAAAACCTTACTCTCGCGAAACCAGACGAAACCCTAGCTCTCCCGTTTCTCCCGGTTAAAAAAGAAAAAAAAAACGAAGCAAATTTTGCTTTTTTAATTTTCGGCTAAATTGAACGAATAATTTTGGGAAATTTCGATTGTTTGATTTAGGGATCCGATTCGCAGTCCGATTTACCGAAACCCTAATTTTGATTTTGGGATTGTTGGCGAATATAAAGGTCCTTAAGAGACTCGATTTCGTCTGATAAAGTGATGCAGGTAGGCATGCAAATTTCTCTCCTTTTTGTTTTTCTGCAGTTAAATTTTGCTTGATTGCTGAAAAAAATTTGCTTGGATTTCAATGCATAAGTTTTTCCTGGAGTGGGATTTGATCTGTTTTTTTTTTTTCTTTGTGTGTTCTTCTTTAATCATACTTTTGTGATTCTGGGTTTGGTTTTGGTGTCACAGATCTGAAAAATGTTTCCTTGCGTATATGATGGAATTTGAGACCTGCTGGCTTTTGATTCTGGGTTTTGGTTCGAGGTGGCTTTCATGGAAAATAGACTAGTTAACTCTAATGGAGTGGGAATTTCGAAGAAATCAAGGTCTTTAGATCTTAAGACGCTCTATAAGTCTAGCATTTCCAAGGATTCAGTGAATAAGAGCTTTAAAAGAAAAATTAGGTCTGGGGATGATGGTGATCAGTTGAAGCAGGACAAGAAGAGCAGGAAAGTTGTTTCTTTAAGTAGCTTTAAGAAACTCGGTAGCGAGAACGAGAAAATTCTGGATAAGGCATGCAATGGCACCACCAGATTGCACAATTTGGAGGACTCCAAGGAGGTGGGTTTGGATGAGAAATTGTGTGACAGTAATGGGCTTCAAGGGATTTCAGTTGGCTTGGCAGGTAGTACGATTTATGTTCCTAGACGCAGGAGAGATTTTGTTGGGAGGAGTAGGTTTGAGAATGGCCTAGTACAGAAGTCTGCAGGGGAATCTGATAGTCAGGAGGAGGCGCTGGTTGATAATATCCCTAAGGTAACTGCTGAAGAATCTAGTGCTCAGGATCAACTCTCTAAAGTTGAAGAGAAGGAATCTGACAAAGAAATCAAAGAATCGAATTCAGCAGCTCAGTTGCAGTTGGAAAATGGGCATTCTAATCAGTCTCCAGTGAAAAATGATCAGCTGGTTGTTGTTAAACAAAGAAATAGTAATAGCAGAAAAAGGAAGTCCTCAGCATCAAACAAGCGCTTGGGAAAAGAGGCCAAGTCTTCAGGTGATACTTCTGGTAGAATATCCAAGGTATCACGAGAAGATGATGAGGAGAACCTTGAAGCTAATGCAGCAAGAATGCTGTCTTCACGGTTTGATCCAAAATGCACCCAGTTTCCTTCAAATTCTGTTACTCCTGGTTCACCATCTGCAAGTAGATTGCATCCATTATCTTCTGTTAAGAATTCAGTGAATCCTCCGTCCGAGTTGCATAGTTCGAAATGTGTCTCAGATGACACTGATGATAGAATGTTGCGACCAAGGAGACAAAATGATGATGGGAAGGGTAAAGTTCGGAAAAGACGCCACTTTTATGAAATTTTGTTTTCAGATGTGGATTCACACTGGTTGTTAAACAAAAAGATTAAAGTTTTCTGGCCTTTGGATGAGAGTTGGTATCATGGGTTTGTGGATGGTTTCGATGGAGACAAGAACCTGCATCATGTAAAATATGATGATCGTGATGAGGAGTGGATCAACTTACAGGGTGAAAGATTCAAAATTCTGTTGTTCCCTACTGAAGTTCCTGGAAAAAACCAACGGAAAAGGCGCTGTTCAGTGTCCAAGTCTACTCAGAAAATAAAAGGGAATGATACATCCAGCAAAGACGAGGAGAAGCAGAAGGAAAAGCTAGAAGATGATAGCTGCATGGAATCAGAGCCAATCATCACATGGTTGGCTCGGTCTAGGCATCGGGACAAATCTTCCACTGTTAAGGCTGTACACAAACGGAAAAAATCTGAAGTAATAACATCCAATGAAACTGTGAAAATGAATGGGGATGTTGTTAGAGACACTGTAGGACAGTTCACAGATAGATCTGCTAGTTCTCTTGCATTATGTGGATTACCTGGACCAAGTGGAAATGAGTTGGAAAGCTCTGGTTTTCGTAATGGTAGCATATTTCCTATTGTCTATTGTAGGAGACGACTTCATACAGCAAAAAAGGAAATCTACAAGGGGTCATATGACAATAATGTTGAGGTTTTGAAGCAGTTTCATATATCAAAAAGTCCGGATCCTGATGTAGAGTTTTTGCCTATTGATGATTCTGGGGATCTGGAGCTTTGTTGTCCGTGGAATGACACAGAGCAATTTGAGTTGTCCTTCAGCCTACATGGTGTTTCCTTGATGAGCTACTTTCTTATGGTGGATGTTGACTGGCTTTCACGTGTTACTCTTTTGCTTCGTCATGGTACACTTGTGACTTTGTGGCCAAGGGTTTGTTTGGAAATGATTTTCCTGAATAACCAAGATGGGTTAAGGTATCTAATTTTTGAAGGCTCCTTAATGGAAGTTGTTCAATTGATTTTCCGTATCTTGATGGTAGTAGATCATTCTAATAAGCAAGGAGCACAAGGAGCGGATGCTGACTTGCAGTTGCCAGTTTTCGCAATTGGTCTCCAAGTTTCTTGCATCCCAGGTTTCCAAAGGCAGCTTGCATTTCAATTCTACAGTTTCCATGAAGTTAAACATTCAAAGTGGTCATACTTGGAACAGAATGTCAGGAGGCATTCTTTGCTAGTTAAGCAAGTATCAATTGCAGAGTGTACACACGATAACATGAAGGTCCTGCAGAAGGTACAGTGATTCTTTAATGCATGATTCTGGTACATTGCTTCGTTGGTTTTTAGTTTTATATCTATATAATCTCATACTAACTCGTTTTTTCACAAATCTTGAACATCAGGTTATGCAGAAGAGATCTAGGCATGGAATCAGGTCAGGCCTTGTATCTAGAGGATCATCATCTGCTAAAGCCTGGCCCACATCTGTTTGCTGCAAGAAGCAAAATACGTCTCCATTTGCACTTCCTTTGACTGCTCGGCCACCTACACTGTTACTCAGTTTACACCTGAACATGATAAGGGAGCTGGGTCATGATTCAGCAGACTTCCTAGGAACAGAACGCGATTTGGTAACAGATAGAGGTTGTGATATGGCAGATTGCACAAATGAACATTCTGAATCCTCTCTCAAGAGTAAGGGCCAGAGTGATGAACCAATTATCACTTCTTCCAGAGCGCAAGAAGCGGAAGAGTCAAAAGATCTTCATACTTCGTCTCAAAGGCAGCAGCTGGGGTCTGATTCTGAAAACTGGGTGTCAGTCAGTTCTTCTGTTGTCAGACATAAGCATGAAACCAGGTCTAAAGTTCCAGTGAATGGGATTAGTATTCAAGTTCCAGTATCTGATCATTGTGAGGATGGTACTCCGCAGTCTAGTAATCTGGCCTTGAATATTCAAGGTAACATCTCAAGTCCAAAGGCCACTGCCCCTAGAAGTATGTGGAGTCGAAGTAAAAGTTCTTTAAATGGCCATCTCTCACATGGTTGGTCGGATTCGAAGGGAGACTTTCTGCACACTAATTTGGCAAATGGACCTAAGAAGCGACGTACCCAAGTGTCTTATTCATTGCCTTCTGGAGGTTCTGATTCTAGAAACAAAAGTTCTCTGCACAAGGGGCTTCCGAACAAAAGAATTAGGAGGTCTACTACTGATGTTTCCAGAGGTATTCAGAAAGACTTGGAGTCTAGTTTATGTGATGCCAATATATTAGTCACTCTTGGTGACAGAGGCTGGAGAGAATATGGAGCTCAGATTTCCTTGGAACCTTTTGATAATAATGAATGGAGACTTGCGGTGAAAATCTCAGGGACAACAAAATACTCACACAGGGCACATCAGTTTCTGCAACCTGGGTCAGTGAATAGGTTTACACATGCTATGATGTGGAAAGGTGGAAAAGATTGGACCCTGGAGTTCCCTGATAGGGGCCAGTGGTCCCTTTTTAAGGAGATGCATGAAGAGTGCTACAATAGAAATAGTCGGGCTGCTTTAGTTAGAAATATTCCTATTCCTGGCATCCGGATGATAGAAAGGGAAAATTCTGATGGAACAGAAACTGAATATATTCGCAGTTCTTCTAAATATTTTCGGCAGACTGAAACTGATGTTGAGATGGCATTAGATCCTTCACGTGTTTTGTATGACATGGACAGCGATGATGAGCAGTGCCTTTTGAGAATTCGTGAGTGTTCGGATGCTGAGAATAGTGGCTCTTGTGAGATCACTGAGGACATGTTTGAGAAGGCAATGGACTTGTTTGAGAAGGCTTCGTATGTAAAGCAGAATGATCACTTTACCTTAATCGAAATTCAAGAATTAACGGCTGGAGTGGGATCCTTGGAAGCAATGGAAACAATATATGAGCTTTGGAGAATAAAGAGGCAGAGGAAGGGAATGCCGTTAATCAGGCATCTTCAGGTATAATCCCTGATATCTTCCCATCTTTTATTTAGTTATTTGATTTTCATTTTTCTTTCATGTTTGCCTTGAGATTTAAAAATCTGCATGGCTAGGCTATATATAGATTTTTTTTGTACTTGGGTGAAATTCAGAATTGTGGACAATAGGGCTGTCTTTTAGGTATTGTGTAGTGTTCTTTTCAGGATATTTTATGACTTGGTAGGTGTTTTATGCAAAATGGAATGTCTACTAGGGGAAAAAGTGCATCTTTTTGCTTTCCATTTTGTTTTGCACAAAGATGTCTGGAAGTCCAAAACTGTAGCATCTTCTATACTCTGTCGATTTTACTCCTTTTCGATTAATCTTAGTTACTGGCTCAACAAAAATGTAGTTCACTCTGCTGCAATATTTTTAATTGTGCCTAACGTAAATACTTGTTTTTTACCCCTGCAATTCAGCCACCTCTGTGGGAAAAATATCTAAAAGAGCTCAAAGACTGGGAGTTGGTTATGAGCAAAGCAAACACTCCAAATTCCTGTGGGTCACAGAAGAAACAGTCACCTATTGAGAAGCCAGCGATGTTTGCTTTCTGTTTTAAGCCTCGAGGTTTGGAAGTCAAACACAGGGGAACAAAACACAGGTCACAGAAGAAAATCTCGGTTTATGCTCAACATAGTTCTACTTTGGGAGATTATGATGTCTATAATTCATCAGGTAACTCATTTTTACCTGCTTGGTTTTCTGTAAATCCTCTATTGGCTCTGATTTTTCTATATGAAGTCTGTGTTTAATCCAACATTTCCATTTCTCTAGCAGGAAGAAGACCTGTTGGTTTTGCCTCTGGAGATGAGAGGTTTTTATATTCAAATCAAAGCTATGAGAACGTGAATGAATATCCTATGCATCCGGGAACATATTCCCCCCGTGACCTAGGCATGGGATATTTCTCGAGCGGTGGAAATGGATATCATAGGAATCACCAAAACAAGTTGCAAAGAGTCAATGGGAAGAGGAATACGAGTGAACGATGGGATGGAGGCTATTCTGAATGCCCCAGTTCCAATCTTGTCTGTTACTCTAACGGATCTCAGCGTCCTGATCTGGAAGAATTACAGAATAGTACAGATATTGATGAGTACAAATTGCGAGATGCAGCTGGTGCTGCTAGGCGAGCATGCGCATTGGCGAAGCTCAAGCGAGAAAGAGCAGAGAGTTTGAGGTACAAAGCAGATCTAGCGATCCAGAAAGCTGCAGCTGCTCTCATGTGTGCAGAGGCAGTTAAAGCTTCTTCTGTGGACCTAAGCAACAATGGGTTAGAAAGCTCGAGCGAAGGATGAAGGATGAGTCGATAGATACCACTTTTGTTAGTCTGGGTTATGTCACCTCCTGAGCAAAAGAAGAGAGAGAGGGATTTGACGTGTCCTGTTCGTCACACGAGCTGGTCTTGACACGAATTAAAGACGACCCAAATGAGATCCACTGTACAGAGATTTGCCTCCCTCTGCTTTAAGTAAGCTATAGTTTGATGCAGCAATAACACCGAATCGGGACTCTGAAACTTGATCTCATGTACCCATCGGCTGGGAACGTTCTTAGTAGGTTAAGAAGAGAGACAAAATGAGGAGATGGTAAAACAAAACAAAAAAGAAAAAAAAAGAGAAAAAAAAAGATAAGAGGAGATTGTAAGTAATTTGGTTTATTAGCTTATGTTGTTAGAGAGATTTAGTTTGAGCAAAAAGATTCTTCTACTGCAAGTATTTTGCGGGGCTCTTCTTCTCCATATCTCTTCTCTGCCTTCTTTTGCTTTTTAGTTAAGATCATCAATGTTTGAAAAACTATGGAAACGAAGCCAAACTTGCAACACTTGCCATGACAAAAAATTCTTATAGTTGTTATACTTGTACCTAAAATAGTCATATAATATATCTTAAATCGCATTTGTAAAAATACTCGTTCCAAAAATTTAGTAAATTTCTTTGGCGTAATACAGAATCGTTTTTTGTTGTCAAGAATACATTTTTTGTAACTTGAGAAGAGTGGTGAGAGAAATTCCAACGGCGGGAAATCTTTGAAGTTAGCAGTTTTGTCGGAAGATGCCTCATTCGTTTGCTGGCTTCATCTCTCCTTTCTCTATTTTTGTCATCTCTTGGAGAAGCTGAGAGAAGTTAGTTCTTTCTCTTCTTTCCACCTCCATTTCTCTTTTTTCGACTGGTTCCTCATCTTCTCTTTGTAAGTTTTTTTTTCTCTTCTCTCTCTTTTTTTTCTTCTTTTGAACATTTTAGAACACAAAGGGCTTCACGCTTGAAATCTCTCATGTTTCTCGCCTTTTACATGAGTCATATTCGGTTAATGTAACTATCAGGAAGACATTAGATTATTTGTAACGCGTGATGAGTTTCGATATAAAAGTCATTCAATTGCACCGTAAGATTAAAGATTGAAACATGCACGAGAGAATAACCTCAATGTTTATGGCTTAAGATAGTAATTTCTTCTCAGGTAAATGATGTCATTGCTCTTTGATAGGATTTCTCATTTGAGATATTGTTTTTCTTGATGAGAGAGGCATTTTTCCAAGAATGGGGAGCAGGATGAAGGAAGGCGAGCGAACCGAAAAGGCTATCCGGAGTTTATTGAAGCTTCCTGAGAACCGACGATGCATCAATTGCAATAGTCTGGTTGGTACAACATTTTTAGCTGAATGAATGCATTCTTTTTGAATAGCTCATTGTAGTTTTGTTCTTAATCTGAATCTTTCAGGGTCCACAATATGTCTGCTCAACTTTCTGGACTTTTGTCTGCATAAACTGCAGCGGAATCCAGTAAGTCTTTTCCTCTTCTCCTTTCATTTTTCTTTTGATCCCTTTCTCTATCAATCCAAGGAAAACTCTGGAACTTGCAAGTGTTGGTCCAAATTTGTTCTTCATATCACGTGCTTCTTTTTGTGTATATGTCCAGTCGAGAATTCACACATCGTGTTAAATCTGTATCAATGGCCAAGTTCACAGCAGAAGAAGTTAGTGCGCTTCGCGCAGGAGGAAACGAGGTTTGATATTGAGCTTCTCATTAATTTTGTGTTAATCATCCATGTTCTAGTGTAAAACTTCATTGTGTTCTCTGCAGCGAGCCAGACAAATTTATTTTAAAGAATGGGATACTCACCGTGATGGTTACCCCGATGGCAGGTTCTTGGACATTTAATTAATCTCAGCCAAGTTAACACTAGGATCAGTAGCAATACTATATGTTAACCCCCATTTTATTTCTTCCTGTTCAGTAATATTTTCAAGCTCCGAGATTTCATCAGGAATGTTTATGTGGAAAAAAGATACAGTAGTAGTGATCGGAGCAATGGCAAGCTCTCACAGCAGAAATCGGTAAACTGCTTTTTTTTTTTTACTTCATTACATTTACCTTTTTCGTGGTAAGTACATCTTTATTCAACTTAGCTAAACCTGAAGCTAAGTGTTCCTACTCATTTTGGGGACAACATCATATGTTACAATGTTGAGGATGTTCTTCTTTACACATTTTTTCATTTTTTTTTTTGGCAACTTTATGGTTGTTTCCATTCAGGATGTCATAGAAGATTACAGGGAAAGTAAGAAGGCCAGTGCAAATTTTCTTGGATCTAGAAGTTTACACTCTGTGGATAAATCTGAAATCGAAAGATATAGTGCTGTTGGGAGGAGTGGAAGTGAATCTCTCAAGTTTTATTTTGATGACAAGAACCATAAACAACAATATGTTACACATAATCCAAGGTCTAGAGGTTTACCAAAGAGTCCTATTCGGTTTGAGATAGTCGATGATAGGTTTAGAGACGATGGAACTGTTAAGAGATATGATGCACGAAAGGAGTCAAGAGGAAGCTCCAAATCACTTGACCTCTCAAGTAACAAAGACATGCCAAGCTTTCCCATTGTACGTCATACCAGCGAACTCAATGTTGTAAAATTTGAAAAAAAGAAGGATCCAGTGAATACTCAGGTAATCTACAGTTGTATCTATTGCATTGTGTTTTATGCATTTTGTCTACAGTTAATATGTGAACAAGTTGCATTTTGCAGACGACTGCATCATCTGAGAAAATGGAGAGTCCTAGAAGTTTAATTGATGATGATGTACCAGTTTCAGAACCATCTGATGAAAGCATTAGTAAGAGTTCAAGTGCAATTATTACATCTCTAAAGACCATTGAGGAGCCAGCTCCTAATTCTTTGGAAGCTTTGTTGTTTGGACCCTCTGTTGGACCCTCTGTTCTTTCTGTTGTCCCTGGAACAAACAACTCTGAACTATGGAACACAAGCGATATTTCTTCTACAGACAATTATACCGCAGCTAACCTCGGGACTCAGACAATGCCAGGAATACCAGATAATGTTACCTCTTTTGTCACATCACCAACAACTGTACATGCTCATGCCGGTTCTTCAGGTCCTGTGGTACCTGTTGCTCCTGATAACTTAAATACAAAAGAGACGGCTACACCAAGTGTAGCTGCAAATAACCAGGTTGGTGTCTGGAGTAGTTTAAACACACATTTACAAAGATGTTCTTGTATTCAGCTGCATCAACTGTTAGTAACAGTAGATGTAACCGGATCATTAACAGATTTAAAAAAAAAATCAAAAGTAAAAAGTTCCATAAAACTTGTTCTCTTCATGTGCTAACGCTTTGAAAACACATATGGTATCTACATCATTAAGGGACCATCAGATTTCTCTATGGAACAGTCAACACTGGCTATCACAAATTATGCTCATGGAGTTGGATCTGAGCAAGATCATCCAGATGAGACACAATCTAGCATAAGAAAGGCGCTTCCCGAGGTAACAAACCTTTCTCTTATAAGAGAAATTTGGATACTCTTTTCGGAATCTCCGGTCATAAGAATCTAACCATTGGCAGGACCTTTTCTCTGGAGGCTTCTCATTTGCCCCCCAGCAAGTTCATGGTCAACATCATGGCATGGGATATGGCATGGAATATTATCAATATCCTATGGTATATGTTCCATTGACATAAAAATTTGGCCTAATAATCACACCATCTGGTTTTATGCTGATATCGATCCTTTTCTTAGCAGGCTATGGGAGCCATAACATATACAGCAAAACCAGCAAATCCCTTTGATCTTAGCTATGATGATACAGCTCCAAACCAAACACCACAAGTATGAATCCTAGAGTTAATTTCCTGTTAGTATATTTGATGAAAATGCAAATATATTACTCAGTTCCTTTCTCTTTAATATTTCTTTTACAGTTTCCTTCTATGGCATATGTGCAAGGAGGAGGCTTACCACACGTGTCAGCTCCGATAGGGTATTCAGATTCTGCAAGTCCAGCTGCAGATTCCATTGGACTGATGACCTCTCAGTCACCTTTTCATACAACCGCTTTATCCCCAAACTCTCCAGCTCTTGCATCCAATCTTTCCCCTGGTGAGACAAAATTTTTGTAAGAAGACAGTTTCATTGGTTGGAATTTATAAATATTCTAAGAGTTGAAACCTGGTGAAACAGGTGCACTAATGGGGCAGCAATCACAGGTGAATATGTCCCCATCATTCAGGTACATACATACTCTGACTCTTCTTAATTAGTGTTCTTTAAATGGTTCTTGAAACTAAATTGATTTTTGTGTGCGCAAAGGCAAGAGTATAGTGGCCTCGGTACTGAAGGAAATACGTTCAACGGAGCACATACATTTCATCAAGCAAACAATGGATATCCTTGTGCAAACCCAAATGCTTATATTTCCAGAGGAAATCCCTTTGAATGAGAGAGAGAGCGCTTAAGATTTGACTCTTAAGCATGACTTGCTTGAAGATGAAACAGAGGTTCCAATCATCTACTATTGCTTCTTGATCAAATTGTACATTGATGTGGAAAGTTATAACTTGTAACCATAAGATTATAAAACTATGTAATTTATATACAAAGCTTGTTCTACCAATGGCCATGGACAATCTTATAGCGTGCATGTGTAAACGTAAACAACCAAACAAATAGCAAATAGTCCAAAAAAATAAAAAAATTTATTAGTTTCTTATTAAACATTAATTTACGCATAAATTAAATATTTATGGCGTTTAACAAAATAAAATAGAATTGAATAAATTTTGTATATTTTTGACATATAATACCAAACTTTTCTAGCATTCAATTGAACCAATTAACCAAACGTTGACCAGATAAATGATAAATCTTTTTTAGTTCCAAGTTCCAACTCTTTAACAACTCTAATTTAACGTATTTATTCATGTGCCCTTGGTTTTTGTTGAAATTTTGGTAAAAGATAGTGTGAATTTTCTGTCTTCTACGGACAACAAATTTTTAGTTTTGATTGGTCGTCTGAATCCTGTGACACACACCGACGCCGTTAACCGTCGTCGCTGTGTATCTCTCTCTCTTTCTCACTCTGTTCCATAGATCTGAGCTTCTACCAATATTTCCCGATCGCTATCAGTCAAATCTTAAGAAGAATTTCCACGCTTTAGCTCAATTCAGGTACGTATTTGAATTTTCTCGATAGACCCTTTTGAGATTCTTGCCTTTTTTTTTTTTTTTTTTTTTTCCTTTGGATCAGATTTCGGTTTCCTGATTTATTAGTTTATTACCATTGATGAAGCTTTCTAGATTCGTCCTCTTTGTTTATGGTCTTGATGGGGTCTTTCTGATCTAAAGCAATAAAAAAAAATCTTGCCTTTCGATGATTATTGTTTGAAATTGTATGTGCTGCTTTCAAGAAGAAGTTGCTGTTGTGTGCCAGTGTTGTTTGTTTCTTTAATTTTCTGATTAATTAACTTGGATTTGTAGGTTTCGGAACACACTGGAAACTTTAGATTGTTTAGCAAGGTTTAGGATTTGATCTCCATCTCGTATCCAAGCATGGTTGCTCCTGTGCCTCCAGGGCCACCTAGACCCAACAGTCAGCAAAATTCCGGGCCACCAAATTTCTACCCGGGTTCACAAGGGAATTCAAATTCTTTAGCCGACAATATGCAGAATTTGAGCTTGAATCGACCACCTCCGATGATGCCTGGCTCAGGTCCTAGACCACCTCCTCCTTTTGGTCAGTCACCACAGCCTTTCCCTCAGCAATCCCCTTCTTATGGAGCTCCTCAACGTGGGCCTTCACCCATGTCCCGGCCTGGACCTCCTGCTGGGATGGCGAGGCCAGGTGGTCCTCCTCCGGGATCACAACCAGCTGGATTTCAGTCAAATGCACCCTTGAACAGACCCACTGGTCCACCTTCTAGTCAGCCACCATTTGGCTCTAGACCATCAATGCCTGGAGGACCAGTCCCGCAGCCTGCCGCCTCATCTAGTGGTTTTCCAGCTTTTGGTCCATCAGGTAGCGTAGCTGCAGGTCCTCCTCCAGGAGCTCGCCCAATGGCATTTGGTTCACCTCCACCTATCGGATCTGGCTTGTCTATGCCTCCCTCAGGCATGCTTGGTGGTCCAGTCAGTAATGGGCATCAAATGGCTGGTTCAGGGGGATTTCCGAGAGGAACCCAGTTCCCTGGTGCTGCTGTTACAACTCCACAGGCACCCTATATGCAGCCTCCTTCAGCACCTTTCGCTCGGGCTCCTCCGCAGCCACTAGGTACACATTCTCTTTCTGGAAATCCACCATTAAATCTGTCTACTGCTCCTTCAATGCCCCCACCGGCAACCTTTCCTGGAGCCCCTCATGGCAGGCCAGCAGTATCAAACTTGCCTTACGGTCCACCATCAGCGCAGGTAATGTGCAGATACGGTTATGGTATATGTTCTTGTTATGTAACTTTTGTGAATTCGATGTATGGAATGATGAAAACATGTGATGCCGTGAGGTAATCACCAAATAATGTAGATGTATATTTAAATTCATTCAGACAGGAACCATACTAGTTGACTAATCTTTGTAATATTTTGACCGTGAAAGATATGAACAGGCATGGCAGGATTCTGTCTTGTAATCAATTAAGCAACAACTTATGTAGTGCTTTAGCTTGTGGCTCTCTTTTTTATTGTTAAGCAAAATCTTTTCACTTGATGTATTCCCTTTGTGTGGCAGATTCTGATGGTCTTCAAATTTGAATGTTGGTAGGTCCCCCCTCCTCTAGGCTTTCCTGGCCCAATGCAACCACCAAGATATGGCATGGGTCCTTTGCCAAATCAGTCGATGACCAACATACCCACTGCGATGGGCCAACCCGGTGCCTCTGTTCCTGGACCCTCAAGAATTGATCCTAATCAAATCCCAAGGCCAGGTTCAAGCTCCAGCCCAACTGTGTTTGAAACTCGCCAGAATAATCAGGCTAATCCTCCCCCGGTGTGTATACCTGATCAAATTTATTAAATTCAGACATTAGTCTGAGATGTCATATCTTTTGTTTGTGGGTTTTGTAGAACTGCTATATCTTTCCCCTGAATTTTCTTCTTTTTTTGAAGCCTGCTACTAGTGATTATGTTGTTCGAGACACTGGAAATTGTAGTCCCCGTTACATGAGGTGTACGATCAATCAGGTAACAATGAAGCATAGATTATTTGATGGTCGCATGTGTTTCATTTCAATATTTTCTCATTGTATTCTTTGATTCTTAGGAACTTGATACATTTATTTTTTCCCTTTTTCGTAATAGATCCCATGTACAGTTGATCTTCTATCTACATCTGGAATGCAACTGGCGTTGATGGTCCAACCGCTGGCGCTTTCTCATCCATCTGAAGAGCCTATACAAGTAAGCCTTGTCTGACCAAACAAAGCATGTATTTGCATTTCCCATTTGGTCTTATTGATCGCATATACCAGTATCTTTGCAGTTCATTGTGAAGCGTATAAATTTGTGTGTTTGACATATAAGTTTTCATTTACATCTTACTATACTATGGTGCAGGTTGTGGACTTTGGTGAGGGTGGGCCTGTTCGATGTTCACGCTGTAAGGGTTACATAAATCCTTTCATGAAGTTCATTGACCAAGGAAGGAAGTTCATCTGTAATTTCTGTGGTAAATGTTACTGTTTTCAGTTATGCAAGCCACAAAATCTGAAGTTATAGCTATGTAACTGCAATAGTATGTATCAAGTTATGTAATAATTGAATATTCTGAGCTAGAAGCGTAGACTAACATTTTTGTGCTTTGACCTTCCTGGATTGAAAGATTTCTTCTGTCAATCTGGATTTCACCTAATTGTGGAAGATGTCGATATTATTTTGTTTAGGGGAGATGCTTATATATTGTTATTGTTCTATTCTTTTGGGAGTTCGTTGATGTGGGAAGCTTTGTGATCCATTTCCTCATCAACTTTCTTTTGCACAGGATACACTGATGAGACTCCCCGTGACTATCACTGTAATCTGGGTCCAGATGGTAGACGTAGGGACGTTGATGAAAGACCTGAGCTGTGTAGGGGAACCGTTGAGTTGGTTGCTACAAAAGAATACATGGTTAGTTTGTGAGACTTTCTGCTTATAAATGTAAAATTCTTTGGTTTTGTTGCTTCATAAGATGCCAATTTATTTTATGTGGTCTGGAATCTACCATTGTATTTGACAAAGTGTTCTGTCCTCTGATTTTGTGTTTTCCCGAAATTTTTAACCTATTACTATGGTGGAAAACGATTTCTTTATACATACTGTACTGTTGATCTATTGAACTACCACCTAAATTACCTTCTAGCTAAGATATTGATATTAACATCGTTTTGGGAGAAGTTGATGATCAGACGTGTCGGGAATGGATGGAAATTAAGGTCATTATCTTTTCTGGTAGGTACGGGATCCAATGCCAGCAGTGTATTTTTTCCTCATTGATGTCTCAATGAATGCGATACAAACAGGTGCTACTGCCGCTGCTTGCAATGCAATCCAGCAAGTACTTTCAGACCTTCCTGTAAGTTTTGTCACCATTTCCAACTCTCCAAAACAGTCAGTTATATCCACCTTGTTCTGAATATTTATTTGGTTTACATTTGTCTGAAGACTTTACTATTTTGGTGGTATTAGAAATTATGTAACAGTCCCTGTCCAAACCTTTTGAGGTTCTTTAGTGATAGTTTGTATTTGCTTGTTACTGGCATCACGCCTTTGCATACTAAGGCGTTCATATCTGAATCATTTAGAGAGTAGCTTCTGCTGCGTATCTCTTAGCGTGTGTACCTTATCTTTAGTGAGTATGTGAACTTTTGTTTGGGTATGGTTATGTTACCAATGGCTTTATAATTCTTATTTTGTTTAGCCATTAGACAATTAAAAATTTTCTGTATTCGTTTGCAGGAAGGTCCTAGGACATTTGTTGGGATTGCTACATTTGACTCAACAATCCACTTCTATAATTTGAAACGTGCACTGCAGCAGGTGATTTGTTTGCACTAGTTTTTTTTCTTCTTTTGTAATTGTTGGATGGAAAAAAACGAGATCTGTTCTCTCGGATCATAACTAGATGGTCATCGGTCCTATTGTGTATATGTTACTTCACTTGAAAGTTATTACATTGGCACGAAAAAATCTATATATTCTCTTATTATATGATAAAAGTTATTTCCAATTAAGAGTTGTATTCAGCATCCCTTTGATACTATGATTTCCGCGGGTGCTGTTTCTTTCTCTTCATGGAATCTTGGAGAAGTTCAACTGATTACTGCTTCCTGTAAATTTGATTTTCCTTCCTTATGTGCAGCCATTGATGCTCATTGTCCCTGATGTACAAGATGTTTATACACCTTTAGAAACAGATGTCATTGTTCAGCTATCTGAGGTCAGTTCTGGGCCATTTGTTTTCTATTTGGGCACTCCCTGATTAGTTTTTCCCTTGTTTGTCAATGTGTCGTATAAGCTGGCTGCTATTATTAAGATTGGGATTCCTAATTTCTTTCTCATACTTTTTGTATATATTGTATATTGATGGAGTTCAGTGCCGTCAACATCTAGAGCTTTTGCTGGATAGTATCCCAACGATGTTTCAGGAAAGTAAAACTCCTGAATCTGCTTTTGGTGCAGCAGTTAAGGTACGTAATTGCTAAGATGCATATGCAATACAAGTAGAAGTTTGGCACATTTGATGGCCTTCTCGATTTCATGAGTTCGTCGTTTAGTAAGCACTAGACCTTTGTCAACTAGTTTTGAGGTTATTTTATAATCTGGTTAAAAGCAATCAATGAAGCGACATCTCAAGTTAATTTGCCGATGTTGCCAAGCTCACATGTTTTTTGTGCTGAGATCATTTCTAATGAACCATTGCTCCTTTTTTGGGAAAATGCCGAGGATAATATCTACTAGTCTGCCACATGTTTGACTTTCGTTTCTAACAACTCCTTGTAGGCTGCTTTCTTGGCGATGAAGAGCAAAGGAGGGAAGCTTATGGTATTTCAATCAAGTATGATGCTCACTCTATTTGGGTATTTTATCTATTAGGGTATATTGATGCATGTGGTTCCAGTCACTTAGAATCCATGTATGCACATTGAAAATTATAGATTTATCAGAAGCACCACCTCTCACTATTTGTAATACATCTTACTGCTCAATTCCTCTATAACTTTTCCATAGTTTTGTGTTCTGTTGGTGTTGGAGCACTTTCTTCTAGAGAGGCTGAAGGGAGAGCTAATATGTCTGCTGGTGAAAAGGTAACAATGCTTCTTCTTTTTTTGTTCCAAAGAATGTAGTGCCGTAGTGGTTCATTGCAAAATGTTAAATCGTCCTGTAATTTTTTGATTTCAGGAGGCCCATAAATTACTACAACCGGCAGACAAAACTCTAAAGACCATGGCTATTGAATTTGCTGAATACCAGGTATACCAATATGATTATGTTCGAATTTTACTGATAATGTTTACATCTGCTCTCTCAATTGCAATATTTTGTCCCTATCTAAGACATCCATATATGTCTCAGGTCTGTGTTGATATATTTATCACAGCTCAGGCCTATGTTGACATGGCTTCAATTTCCGTCATTCCAAGAACTACTGGAGGACAGGTATATTCCAATATTCCTTATCCTTTCTGATTATCAATATTCCTTCTTTTTCCCCCTTAACTTTAGTTGTAACTTCTAACTATCACCGTTCAATAGAAATTCTTATTAACAGAGTCTTTCTTGTCTCTATCAGTCGAATGCATTTATCCTATTGAAGCCCGTATCTTAAATATTTCTGTGACAACTTTGCAATCCTAACCGACGATAGTCTATGAAAGTCTTGCTTACTTGATGCACTGTTAATGGTTATCCGTGTTGAGCTTGACGTCTAGGTTTTGCCGTACTTAAAACTTTCCATCTTTAACAATTTTTTTCCAGGTGTATTGTTATTACCCTTTCTCAGCTCTCTCAGATCCTCCCAAGCTTTACAATGATCTCAAATGGAATATTACTAGGCCACAGGGTTTTGAGGCTGTCATGCGAGTCAGATGCAGCCAGGTATGTTTTTGCGGTGGAGGGGGTCTCTTCATGCATTACTCTGTTAACTCCAGCGTAAGGCTAATTTTCTGTAAACCACCGTTTCCATTAATCGTAGGGTATTCAAGTGCAAGAATACTCCGGGAATTTCTGCAAACGCATTCCAACTGACATTGATCTACCAGCGGTGAGTGGATCCTCCTGAAAATTTCCCACTTATTAGTTTTGGATTGCATTGTGTGTGTCTACTGATTTCCTGTCAATATCATTGAAAACATATCTCTGTATATGGTCCCTAGTGAAAATTGTTGAATCTGGAATTATGGATATATATGATTCAACTGCTCTGCTGTTTAAGCTAACACAATGTTAGGCAATAGGAAAACACATAATTTTTTTTGCTGCAAGTTTACAAGGAGATGCACTATGGTATAAACTCTTTTTACTCTTGACAAACCTTAATTGCCAATGCAGATTGACTGTGACAAAGCTGTAATGGTGACGTTAAAGCATGATGACAAACTACAAGATGGAGCTGAATGTGCTTTCCAGGTATATTTTGTATCCATGTACCTTGCGGAAAAATGTTGGTACTCTTTCCCATTTAAAATGATGTTAATCTATGTTGGTTCTGTGTTTTTGTTAGTGCGCCCTTCTGTATACTACAATATATGGAGAAAGAAGAATTAGGGTTACCACATTATCACTCTCCTGTACGAACATGCTCAGTAATTTGTTTCGCGCAGCTGACTTAGATTCTCAATTTGCTTGTATGCTGAAACAAGGTAGGTCACTGTTTTCAGTGCTGATTCTACTGCTATCCATGTTAAGATTATGTAACAATTTTTGGGTTGTGTTTTATGCAGCGGCCAATGAAATTCCTTCGAAGGCACTTCCACTGGTAAAGGAGCAAGCAACTAATAGTTGCATAAATGCACTCTATGCCTACCGTAAATTTTGTGCTACAGTGACATCATCTGGACAACTTATTCTTCCCGAGGCGCTCAAGCTATTTCCATTATATACTCTCGGTATTTCCTTGTGACTTTTATCAACTTGAAGTTAATTTTACTCAACTTTAGGTTCTCTTGTGCAATGCAAATTGTTTCCCATCCCTTATCTTGAATTAGAAGTGATTATATTGTGTTTTCACCTGCTACGTGTGCTTACTTCTAGGAGATATTAAGTGACAGTTATTTTCGTTTTCTGCTAACTTTGTGGTAATTACCTGTGGCCTACCATACTGGAGCAGAAAATTGGATACCTTAATTTCTTCAGATGGTTGGAAATATGTTCTGTGTGAATTACAAGTACAAATTGTCTTACCCGCTATCTGTTTTGTTTCTCCTATATATGCTGAGTGTTAGGAAAGGAATAATAAATAATAGATTTTGATTTGTTGTTGTTTCCTTTTACATGGGTCTTCCTCAGCATTGACCAAAAGTGTGGGTTTAAGGACGGATGGGAGAATTGATGATCGATCATTCTGGATCAACTATGTATCTTCCCTTTCTACTCCTTTGGCAATCCCATTGGTTTATCCCAGGATGATTTCTGTTCACGACCTTGATGCGAAGGTATGATGGGGCTACTTTTCGTTAATATATATATCTCAAGACTTAAATATGCAGTTTGTGAAGTTTTTTATTATTCTTGCTTTTTAATTTATCAGGACAATGAGGGATCGGTTCTTCCTCCTCCAATCCCATTGTCAAGTGAACATATCAGCAATGAGGGAGTTTATTTTCTTGAGAATGGTGAAGACGGTCTACTATATGTTGGCGAATCAGTAGACTCTGATATTCTGCAGAAACTTTTTGCTGTTCCTTCAGCTGCTGAAATTCCTAACCAGGTAATCTTAATTTCGCTTCATTAGCACATGGAATTGTAGGATGATTAAATAGCAACAAAATCTTAATTTTATATTATTTTATTGCACCATCCGTGTATGACTGTTGTGATTGTTTCGTCATATTACCTATCACATTATTGAAACCTTGAGAGAAGAAATCTCTTTTCTGGCATTTTTGAACCCTGCTAATCAATGATCACCTGTGTTTTCTTTATAGTATCTGCTGCAGCAATATGATAATCAGTTATCAAAGAAGTTTAATGATGCTGTGAATGAAATAAGGAGGCAAAGATGTTCTTACCTAAGGTATCTAGCAAAAATCTCAGTATCTGTCCATTTTATCTCCTAACTGAACCTTTTCCAGCCTAATCCTTCCAACGTCTTTATGTTTTATCTACACAGAATAAAATTGTGCAAGAAGGGAGATCCATCAGGTGAGTAATTCTGGACGGATTTCAACCAAGTCTTAGCACTAACTACAAAGGATACATGTTATTTATCTTTTCCTGTTTGCTACATGATCACTCTTACATTAATAGCTAAGTTTCTATGGTCGGTCCTCTCTCGATTAATAGCTAACTGGAAAGAGAATCAACAGCATAGCTCCTGTCATCTAATATTCCTTTGGGAAATGAACATAATATTTTCAGATTTCATGAACATGTATTGTTGCTTACTCGGTGTTGGTTTCATAAAACCTTGTCAATGCTGATGATTTGTTCTTATGATATTTGGTACTTTTCAGGAATGTTGTTTCTCTCGTATATGGTAGAGGACAGGACCGCAGGCGGCCCGTCGTATGTGGAGTTTCTCGTGCAAGTTCATCGCCAAATCCAGCTCAAAATGAACTGATCCTCTGTTTTCTAGGAGTCCTTACAGAAGTTTCGTCCCATCTGTGTCATGTTCGGAATGTGTGGTAGAAAAGCATAGCAGAAGGGGAAAGGGCATCAGTCTTATGGCTGCTTGAGAAGAGAGCATAGACTACTACTTCATCAACTTGAGAAGTTTCACGTCATATTAAAGGTGTACTTAGATTATACAAAAGAGTCTTTAGCTAATCCATTTTGTAGGGTTACCTTTTTTTGTGTGTTATTTGAGCTCGAACTAAGAACTTCCTTTCAAATACCTTTTTTTGTTGGATGTTACCGAAGGGACAAATAAAACTTTTTGATGTACAATGCTGTGTAAAATATGAAATAATTGTTATTTTCTTTATCATTGCTGTTAGTATTATGGTTTTATGGTTTTTAATTTTCTTTTATTAGCCTTTGATGCAGCAGATGTATAGAGAGAATTGTTTCAGTAATAAGAGAAAATACCAAAAATGGTACTTTTGTTGTTAGAATCTTCAATCAAAAAGATAAGAAGCAAGTAATAATGGAATTGGGAATTCGATCTTCACCTTATATTTTCATATATCCGACTTTGCTTCTTTTCATAAGAACGTTTACGCTGACAAAAATATAGTAGTTTTTTTCTTTCTTTCTATATCAGTATTTTGTGTGGGAGGTGATAATTAATTGTGAATATAGATATTTTTAGAAAATATATAAATGATCGTTTTCTCGAAGAGCATCAATTTGTTCAACATGTGCACCGTCTGCCATTGCAATCGTGCTTCCTCGTTTCCCCAACTTCTTCTCTGCATCCACCAAAGCTTAATGAGTTCAGTATAAAATATATTTAATACTTTCAATGTAAAGAGAAGTAATAACATAAGAGTGGAAACTGACCAGCTAAGTCGAATAGAAGTTGGATAGAATCAGGCAAAATGACAAGTCTACCGTTGGAATCACCATTGTTGTTGTTATCTTGATTAGGAGGAGCTTGTCCATGAATTATCACTCTTTTAGGAACTCCCTCACTTCTTCTCTCTTCTTCTGCAATCAAATGTCATTGTTACCAAATAAAAAGAGTCTATATTTCCAAATCTACAAAAATTGTCTTATTACTCTGTTCATATTCATCTCTTGAGACCGTAACTATCTCCTCATTGTTACTTTGTGGTGTTTCTTCTGTCTGAACTGTTTCCTGTCACCAAATGATGCGTTTTCATCTCAAAATCAAATTGACAATCGTGACGAGAAGACTATGCATTTGTTATAAGAACGTATATATATATATATACCTGAACCTGAGCATCTGCGTCAGCTAGTAAATCTCTAAGAAAAGGAATTTCTTTCTTCAACTCATCATTCAATCCCTTAAGATACTGAAATTAAGGAAAAAACCATTAATAATTAGTGTTACAATATAGGCATTATATTTTTGTTGATATTATCATCGTTTGTGAATCTGAACTTACAGTCATGAAATTGGTGATGATCATTTTGGCGTCCACGTCATTATCAGACTGAACCATTTCTTTGAACTTATGATGACCAATTCTGATAACTTGTGAAAGTCGACGTGTCCTCACAGTGAAAGGCTGAGGAATGTTGAACACTACTCCTATCTCTCCTGCCATACTTCCGGGACCTAACTTGGCCAATACCTTCACCATTTATATCAACCAACTCTTCATTCTCTACATCAATCTCTTAAGTTTATTTCAATGTGTTTTATTTTCACTGAAATTAGTTTAGAGTTTTACCTGTTCACTCACACCCTTGGATGCAACTATATCCTGTGATTCCAAATTTTCTTTAATCAGTTGAAGTCAAATGTATATTGAGTATATGTAGATGACAAAGATATCATACCACTCCTCCAGATACAATTATGTAGAAATCCGTTGGAATCTCATTCTGCAATATTATCTCCATTTTCGGCGGAAAATATTCTGCTTGTATTTGGGAAACCTACAACAACAAAGAAAAGTTAGTTAATGTCTTGTTTAACAAGCAAAAAAAAAAAACAAGTGGAATTGTTGATGGATCACCAGCTGGACAATGAGGCCATTGGGGAATCCTTTGAAAAGATAAGCCTCCACGATGACAGAGCGGAATAGATGTTGATTAATGCTTGATCTTATGGCCTTAGGTAAGTCTTGAAGAACCTCTTCTTGCCTTAACTCTGCGGTCTTGAACTTGAGCTGCATATGTGCAAGCATCTGCTCCCTCATTGTATCTGGTAACCTGTTCTTGCTTGTGTACCGCAATATCTGATTGATCGCACTTCTCTGTCCAAGAACAATAATAGAGTGGGTTTCCCTTATATATTCATCTCACTTGGGATGTGGGATTCATAACAAATTTTAAAGGTTTCAATCAATCGAAGAAATGATGATTAATTAATTACCATGGAAAATGTACGAAGAGCTCCATGGACAACCAGATTGGTCATGTTACCGATGATATAAGCCGTGAGGCCAATGTTGAAAAGCATATAGAACATGTTGAATGTCTTCTCACGGCTATTAACGGCATGCAGATCACCGTAACCCACGGTAGTGAGTGTGACAATGGACCAGTACATTGAGTAAGTGTAGCCTAACCATATACTTCTCTCCTTGAAATCCTCTACTTGTGATCCTATCCATGTTTCTGTAGGCCTTGGATAATGGTAGGCTATCCAGTATAAAATGCAACCCGCCATATGTATCCAAAATATCGTTACCTGAGTCAAATTTCATATTAATAAGACAAGTTGTAGATCCATGAAAACTAGCTAAGTGATTTGTTTTGCTAAATTGGTCAAGTTCGAGACTAGAGAACTCAAATTGCTAACATTCGGTACTGATCATATGATAGATGAATAAGAAAATAAACTTACACAAAGTAGTTTAATGAGTCTGATGAGGAAGTAGTTAAAACGTGGGTCTTTCTCTAGCCTGTAACAAGAAAAGTGATGTGGTTAATACATACATATACACTTTGGAATATATGAAGAATATTATGTCCAACATTAGTTTAAATATAGAAAGTACACTGTAGAAACCTTTTGAAGAGTTCGGCTACACGACGGAGACGCCAGAGGCGGAGCAAATTAAGGAAGCCGAAAGCTTGGCCTCGTCCGATATTTCCGGTAATAGTTTTATAAATGAACTGAATCGGTAACGTTGATGCTACGTCCATCACAAAAGCCACGCTCTTCAAATACCTAATGCACATATCTTCATTTTTGTCACTAATTCATTTCTAATTTTATTTGTTTTGTACGTAGTGTACTCTTTTACCGTTTGGCGATGAGCTTGTGGTCGTCAACAACTAGGTAAGAAGACTTATCCAAGTAGGAAACGAAAAATGTGAGGATAATATCAAGGGCAAAGAAAAAGTCAACGACGAGATCAACGGTCATTAAAGCTCCTTCAGCTGCTCTCATAAAAGCCAACTCGAACAGAGATGCCCACGCTGAATAACCCACCAGTATCACCAAAAACAATTCCCACAACCTTCCAATAATATAGTAAAACGTAAAAATATGAATCCATTATTTTACATATTGAGGTATTTTATTATACTTAATAAAACATTCATGGACTAACATTATATTATTTGTTATGGTTAACTTTTTCGATGGAGTATACTAAAAAAATAAAGAGTAACGAAATCTGTAAATCATTTCTTTTTCTTTTGATAACTAAAAAAACATTTCTTGGTTGTTAATGAAATATGGATGAGAAAATAAAGAACCTGTAACGACGATCATAGTGAAGAACGATGTAAGGTCTGGAAGAAGAACTATCGTCTTCGATGACAGTCCCAAACGCAGGCAAGAGACTGCTCGAAACTGACGTTATGTTCCTCACATCTTTGCTCGATCTTCTTCTGAACTGCAGTACCGATAACGGCGATCTTGCTTCCGCCGTCGTTGATGTTCCCGTCGAAGACCTTCCTCTTTTCAACAACAAAGGTAGCGGTGATCTCGCCTCAGAAGTCGTCGTCGACATTCTTTTTTTTTTTTCCTTCTTCTTCTCTCTCCTTCAAGCTTGATTGATACTTCCCTCTTTGTCTCTTTCATTTATATATTATTTATTAAAGAGGTGTGAAGATGATGATTATGAAGTGGTGAACCAATTGTGTTGACTTTTTTTTTTATTATTTTATTTTCCCTATTAATTTTTGGAAAAAAAATCAGTTACTACAAACATAAACTTACTTAACCTTGTAATAATTTATAATTTTCAAGATTGTATAATTGTATATGGTAAAATCTCTATACTATTAAAAAAGAAGTACAAATGAAAATGGGTCGGATTAAAATTAGAAAATTGACCCGAAATTCTGAAATCGGATCTTTGAAATTTGTTTGGAATATAAATTCGAATTAATAATGAAAAATCGAAATAAAATCAAATATTTATGGAAATCAAATAAAATCTGATTGTACTTATGGTAACTAATAATAAAAACATATTCCAAACAATATTATACATTAATTACGTATAATAAATTTGTTCATATATTTTTGGGACTAATTCCATAACAATCAACGTTTTTGTCATTAATTTCGCTCATTTTAGCCAATTATCATTAATTGAAAGATATTTTACTTGCTTCTAAAGATTTCTAGAAAATTTATCACAAATAACTCATCTGTTTTATAAATTAAATTGATATTTTTATTTTGGTCGTGTAAATTAAATAGATATTTTTATTTTGGTCGTGTAAATTAAATAGATATGAAATCCATGTAACTAATTTTAATTTAATTAGATTAAATCGAAATTATGATATTTTCATACCTATAGCTTACCAAAGAAGTTTAATTTTCAATTTATAAAGATTTCTTGAATATGATTTTAGAATTATTCAACAAGATGATAAGTATTTATTAAATTTTGTGAATCATGAAAAATAATAATTAATTTTTAATCATTATACTTCATCTTTCAATCTCTCATCTAACAAATAAGATACATATTCTATTATTACTATGTCCAAACTTCATTTTGTTGTATGACTAAATAATATTCCCATTAGAACTGTCAAAGCGAGTTGATTCGTCCCGTTAAGTCCGTTTTGCGATAGACAAAAAATATTTTGACTCGTAGTTAGTCGGTCCGCACGACCCGCGGGTAGCATATATGAAATGCAAACCCGTCCCGCGAATGTATGCGGATTTGCGGGATTGTCCATGAATTTTGTTTAAATAATTTTAAAGTAACCAAAATTTAAAATACTACTAAAATAAATAAATAAATCAAAATACTATTAAAAGTTTGTTTAAATTACCACATGTTGAATAAATTATAATTTTATCAATAAATACTAATATACGGGCTGATCCGCCAACCCGCGGATGAAAACCGATTAAACCTATGACCCACTGCGAATTAATCCATGTGGCCCGCTTATTTGCGGGTTTAATATATTTTCCCAAATCTGCCCCATAGTGAGATGATGTGGGCTCGACCCGCGGTTTTTGACCTATTTTGACTGCTCTAATTCCCATGAATCGTCTAATTTTAGAATTTTAAAACACAAAATTCTATTTTGTAAATCATAATTAATACGATGGGTATATTTATAAATAATTTTACATTTTCTCTACAATTCGTTATTATGAATATTTATAAGTATACTACACGATTCGTTCTACTAAAAAACACACACAATATTAAACGTAACGTATGTAAACCAACATTCTCCCGCGGTGGACCATGGGTCCGATCCTAGTTCCTTTTAATTCTTGAAAGTTTCTTATGATAAATTTTAATGATGACTCTTTAGAATCATAAATTTATAACCTTGTTGTATTGCAGAAAGGCTTCATCGACTTTTGACCCTTATTTACGTCTCTGTGTGTTTTTAATGTGACATCAGGTGTAGTAATCACAATCGAGATCTACAATAATAATAAAGAGATAAGGTTCTTTTTCTTTCTTACGATAAATTATGTAATAGTTAGCTATTTAAATAATGGAGTTGAAAAATTGAAGATCTCAAAAGTCAAATCTTGACGTGTTTTTTTTTGTGTTGTTGTTATTAAATGAGACCTGTGACAGGAATAGTAGTGTTGAAAACACAACGAACAATAATAAACAAATGAAATACATTATCATCATTACTGATAATTGCGAGTCTGTGAAACAAAAAGAAATTATGACTATCATACATTGATAAAACAAGAAACACTATAGTATGTTTTTGATACATACATAATCATTTAAATTTGTATTGAGTGTTGGATGCGCATGTTGGATACTATTAGGTGCATGTCGTGGTATTACACAAAGTGTCGAATTTCAGAAATCTACTATACAAATTAAGAAGATGCAATAAATACAAGGCCAATGCGATCGATTAATAGTTTTGACACGTCAAAAACGAATAAGTTTGAGATATCTATACATATAACATATAAATAATAGGAAACGAATCATAATTGGTATAGAGAATATATTAATATATAGATAGAGAATATAGATAAGAAACAAATTAACGTATTTATTTAAGGAATAAAAACCCTAATTTTTCTCTCTCGGACGTCATTTTCGAGGCCCCTCTCCGCCTATGTCTCGGGATCTCTTCCCAAAGAACCTCTTTCCACCGTTAACAGCCTAAGTTCGAACGACGCTGACAGGCCGGCCCAAACTATTTGAGTGTCTAAAGCAAAAAATTTTTTGGCCCATTAACAAAAGCTGTTATAAAAAAAAATACAAATTTAAACATGTATGGGATTCGAAACCATGACCTGTACAACAAAAAATTTCAATCTAACCATTAGACCACAGTAACATTTTAAAAATTGATGCCCTTAAAACTATTTATAATTATTTGATGCCTAAAGCCCTTGCTTCATGGGCCGGCCCTGGACGCTGATGTTGGCTTGCTTGGGGTTCTCTGCGTCTTCCTCCGGCTTCCACCTACTCTGTTTGTATCTCCGAGAAAGACAGATCTGCTCGTGAAGATTGTCATCTCTTTCCGACGAGATCCATCAAATCCGCAAGCCGCCAGAAGACTTCCATCCCAACCGCGGGTGAGAACTACCCCTCTAAACCGGGAAGCTTCTCCGGCGCGTGTTGGTGTGCCGCCGGTTAACCGCCGCCGCATCCTCTATATGTTTGGTCGATGAGGAGTCAAAACCCTAATTGAGATGGGCCCACTTCTTCTTTTATGGGATTTGGGCCAGATTTTAGTTTTGTTGTTAATGGGCTTATCAAGCCCAGGAAGACCCCTAATGGAGATGGACAGCAGCTATGCTATAACCAGAACTGTACTTGTGTATCTTGGCTCTAAGGTCACGATTGGAAAGTTGGCCTTGGTTTTACCTTACTCTAGCCCACTTATTTCCTCCCTTGGGGAGAGACCTGACTATAACTTCCTCTTGTTGAAAAGAGAGACCATGTTGGTTTATATCCCTCACTTGAGAGGAGCAGTTCTAGTGTGTCTCCTTCGGACAAACTCATCTGAGAGTAGACATGATCTTCTACCACCTGCGACTATCTCTACGGGACAAGATACACTATTGGACGTTTATACACCAACCATACTTTACTCCAATACTCTTCCTCGAATCTCCTTGCTTGACTTGGGAACTTCACTTGTAATTGTGTGGCTTCATTGTTCTCTCTTAACTACATACTTTGGATTTTGTACCGCGAGAAATCCTTCTCGTCCTATTTGCGACCTCCCTTTTCAGGGAATGGGTGTCTCTGCACTTCAGGCGCAATATTGGAAGCTTAAAACTGCTAGGAATCTTATGCATTCCAAGCGGCAATGTTTATCATGGTGGTTGGTAGTCTGGCAACGACTTGCTCTCCACGTCTTCGTATGGCCCTACCAGAGTGGTAGTGCTCATTATCTTTTGGGTCTTTAATCCCCTTGCTATAGCTTTTCAGTCTAGCTATTTTTCTTATTGCTTTTTGACCTGGATGTTGTCCGTAGCTTTGAAAACAACATACCATGGCTACTCCTCCTATGTAAGTTTATTGGTCTCTGTTGAGCTCTCCCTAGAGGAGAGTTTTGTATGCCTGTAACTTAATCTAATGGAGTGTTTGTTGACAAAAAAAAAAAAAAAGATAGAGAATATAGAAACCTCTGAAGTCTTCTCCCTTCTCTCTCCTCAAGCAGCTCAAGTCTCCGTTGTTTTTTGGCCGGAGATTAATGTTTGGTGGCTCCTATAGCACCAACGTTGATCTTCTTTCAGTTTTCTGTTTGTTTCTTTGTTTGATCCTCGCAGTTGCAGTTTGTTTTGGACGGTTTCGACACCTTGATAGCTACCGCAACCATTGAATCTCTTCGGATCTTCGATGATGTTGCAAAAGAAGCTCTCTCCTCCGTTCTTCTCACCTGCGATTCTGATTTCGGTGGCTTTGTTTCTCAGCTTTCTGAAGATGGCTTAGATTAGGCTTCACAGAGATGTTGACGAGGTTGTTGCTAGGTTTTAAGAATAAAAATATTGTTGCATGTTCATCTTCTCGTTTATTGCCAGAGTTCCAATGTGGATCGATCCGCCATTCACAAGGTAAGTGATTTGGTGTCTCCGATGGGCGGCTCGTTTGTAGTCTCCTCCACTCGATCTCTCGACATGATCCGTTCGAGATCTATGTTGTTTTTGCTTTCTTCTTTCCGGATTCAAGTCGACTTTGTTTCGACGCACCGGCATCGGTGTAGTAAGTCGGTTTCAACCGCATCGCCAATCATGGGAAGCAATTTTAAATTTCCGAAGTCTCCTAATTTACAAGAGAGGACATGAAGATCAGAAGAAGTTCAGAAGTCTAAGGTTTTCTGGCGATATTAGTGTTTCCTCTGTTCTCGTTATATGTTGGCAATTTTGAAGATGTTTGAATGTGTAGCAATTGGTTTTTATTGTGTTTAATAGTTTTCTTTGTTGTGTCCGGGGATGTATCTTTGTTCTCCCGACTTTTAGTTCCGAGGGTTGTTTTTGAACTCGTCGGCTTGCGTCCAGAGGGATCTCTCGATCTTTGCTGGCTTTGTGTCCGGAGGGATTTCTTAATCCTTGTCGGCTTGCGTCCGGAGGAATTTCGATTCTTTCCGGCTTTGTGTATCTGAATGATCAATAAAATCTTTTATGAGAAAAAAAAAAAAAAATTGAGAAAAAAAAAAGATAGAGAATATATATTTTCCAAGAAACAATGAAACGAAACGTCAAGATTATTTATTTTGGGCCAAGATTACAAGATCTCGTGAAATTTGAGATCTCAACACATTTCATTTGGGCCGGGTGGGGCAATTATTCGTGGAGAATCAATTGTTCGCTGGGAAGTGCAAAAAATGGAATTGGTGGATGTCGCGATTCGACCCCAAGGGATTTGGCCGGTAAAATTGGGAGGATTTTAAGACTCTCTCTTCTTCTTCTCTTTGCACTCTCGTTTCGAAACCCTAGCAAAAAAAGTCCTCTGTTTTCACCATTTTCGGAGATATCAGTCACCTTCCTTCGCTCGATTCGCCGCATCTACGTGAACAGTTTCTGGTAGAATTATTCCCTCTTTTAGCTGCAGATTGGCATCGGATTCCGTTCTGGATGCGTCGGTGATCGATTCTCCGCGTCGGTGATGATAGCTAACGGATTCGAGAATATGGATAAAGAACGAGTCAGAAAACGTCCTCGTATGACCTGGGACGAGGCCCCAGCTGAACCAGAGGTTGCTCTTCTTCTTCCTTTTTCTTTTATTAATCTTTGACATTTCGAAATTAGAATTCGGGTAAGAATGTGGTGGAAAGACCAAGCATTGTTTTTGGTGAGGTTTTGATATGCTGACATTGAATTTTGACTTTTTGGGGATAGGCTAAAAGGGCTGTGATTAAAGGACATGGAAGCGATGGGAGGATTTTGTCACCACCATTGAGGGAAGATGATCGTGACGGTCATTATGTTTTCAGTTTGAGGGACAATCTCACTCCTAGATGTGAGTTTTTTTTTTATAAATTCATGAATTCTGGGTTTTTGATTGATAAAAAGTTGCTAGACATTTACTTATATGTTGCTTCTATATGTGCATTGTTGCTAGTAGCTCGTTGTTTGGCATCATTGCCTCAGGGATAATCTTTTTTCGGTTTTCATTGACATGAGATTCATTTCTGACCATGTTTAATTGTTTAACTTGCGCTACTTTGTGTTCTGTTTTGACAGATAAAATACTAAGCAAGATGGGTGAAGGTTAGCTGTCAAGTGGCATGGTGTGTTCGAGATAAAAAACTGTTTATGTGAATCAAATCGTGCCATTTCAGTGAACTTGCTGGTGTTGTAGGCACATTTGGTCGGGTTTTGGAATGTTGGGATCGTGATACAAAAGAATATGTGGCAATAAAGATTATTCGAAGCATTAAGAAATACCGGGATGCAGCAATGATTGAAATTGATGTACTTCAAAAACTTGTTCAGAGTGATAAAGGCCGCACACGGTATTTATTTATCTTCTAGACTTTAGTTGATGACATCGTTTCCTGCAGAGGTATTTATCATTGCTCAGTTTCTTCATTTCTGCTTTGTCCTTGCAGCTGTGTACAGATGAAGGACTGGTTTGATTACCGAAATCATATTTGCATTGTAAGTTTCCCGATTAAGCTCATTGATTTCACCCCCCAGTGGAATGCATCTCTTATATTTAATTGGTTCTATGTTCAGTACCTGTGAGGTTTGTTAGTGTTATAAGTAAATGAATTATAATCTTTCTGGCTACCTTTCTTTGTTTGATGCCCAAATTATGAAAATCCAATTCCCTGTATAGTGTTTGTATAGTTAGTTTACCCATGTGGATTTTGTCGATGAAGTTTGGAACTAAACAGAACCTTCCTGTGAATGAATTCTAATGGTGATACCAGGTGTTCGAGAAGCTTGGGCCAAGTTTGTTTGACTTTCTAAAGAGAAATAAATACTCCGCATTTCCTCTGGCCCTTGTTCGGGATTTTGGATGCCAGCTTTTGGAATCTGTAGCATGTCTGTGAATTGTTCCTATCTGCTGCTTTTTAATACAATTATCGTATCTAGCACGTCATCGTAACCGTTTCCTTCTGTCTCGGTTCAGCAGCTGTAGTTCCTACCTAATGCCTCTCTGTTCTTAACACATTTTTTCTTATTTACAGATATGCACGAGTTACAGTTAGTTCACACCGACCTCAAACCTGAGAACATTCTTTTGGTGTCTTCTGAAAATGTAAAGCTTCCTTACAATAAGGTATCTAGAACTGAATTTGGTTAAGTTTGGTTTGGGTACAGCCTCTGTAGTAGTGATAAGCTAAGTCTTTTAAAAGAAAAAAAAATTCTTTGAAGAGTTTGCACTTTTGACAGATTGCTGTTTGATTTTAATAAACAGAGGAGTGCTGCAAATGAGACACATTTCAGGTGCTTACCAAAGTCGAGCGCTATTAAACTGATTGATTTTGGCAGTACTGTTTGTGATAACAGGATTCATCACTCTGTTGTCCAAACAAGGCATTACAGATCCCCTGAGGTCATTTTAGGTTGGTTAAGCAGTTACTTGCGGATTCCGTAGCTGACGATTACCAATGAATGAACATAACTTTTCCCTGGTAACTAACCAGTGGCATATCATTGCAGGTCTAGGATGGAGTTACCAGTGTGACTTATGGAGTATAGGTTGTATACTATTTGAACTATGCACGGTAAAGTCTCTTTCATATTGTTGTATGAATTCTTATCTCCGTGTGTTGAGTTGTTTTACTTACTATTGTCAACATTTTCAAACTGTACATTAGGGTGAGGCTCTCTTTCAGACGCATGATAACCTAGAACATCTAGCTATGATGGAGAGGGCATTGGGACCTTTGCCTGAACATATGACTCGAAACGCCAGGTTACTTTTCTATTTCCACAAACATTTGGGTTCGCGAAAACTCAACAGAGATATAAATGCTCATCGGTTGTTGCATGTACGGTCATTATGTTTTTGCAGCCGGGGTGCTGAGAAATATTTCAGAAGAGGGTGTAGGCTAAATTGGCCAGAAGGGGCCAACTCTAGAGAGAGTATTAGGGCTGTAAAAAGACTTGATCGCCTCAAGGTTTAATCACCATCAATTCTTCTTATTGTCTAATGATATATCTTTTGTTTGATATGCCGTAATCTGAAGTAGAAACTGCTCACAATTCTTGCAGGATATGGTATCGAAACATGTTGACAGCACAAGATCTAGATTTTCAGATCTATTGTGTGGCTTACTGACATATGATCCATCTGAGCGTCTCACGGCAAACGAAGCTCTTGACCATCCTTTCTTTAAGAGCTCAAGTTGAGAAGAAGCAAAATCAGATGTAGAATTTTACTTGGTAACAAGTTTTTTTTGTTAGATTCTAAAGCTCTCTTTTTCAGTAGCACCAAACAGTAGTATTCCAATTTCAGTTACGAGTTTGGCTACATTTATTCTGGAAAATAACTCTGTTGTACATTGTGTTGTTGAGAAGAAAAAACTTAGGGGGGTGTATTGGAACTAGGATTTTAGAAAATTTTGGGTTTTTACTAAAATCACCTGTTATTGAATTTGTGATTTTCAAATCTCTTCTAGAATCCAATGTTATTGAAATTGAGATTTCAATAAAATCACTCACAATCTTTTGTTATTCAAACTATAATTTCTAAACTTGATATCAAATCAACTGTTATTGAAAACACAACTTTGTTTTTTTTAAAAAGCCATAACATTGATTTTGGGAGACTTTGGATACAATCTTACATGAGAAATTCAATTAAAGAAATCACACCTTGAGAGGTGTTATTTGGAAAAAACTTCTTTTAACAAAATTTACATAAGAGAAGTTGTCCTTTCACTTTCTCATTCTCATCGTCAAAAGTCAAAACAAATCTGTCACTTTTTTTTGTTCTTCACATGCAGAAAAAAACAAAAGATTTCAATGGCAAATCAAATTCATTACCAACAAAATCTCTCCCAGTTTCAAGTTTTTAATTTGAAGTCCTAATACAAAAACATAAACTTTTTTAGAACCACAACACACCATAATTTCTTTATCTTTTACCACAAACAACTTTGAACGTGTTGCAGAGAGAATCCAATTTTTCTATTTTTTTGTAAAGCAACGTTGCAAAAAGATCCCAAATTTTCTAGACAATGTTGGAGATAAGTTTTTTTTTGTAAATCCAGTTTTCCTATTTTTGTTTTAAAAATCTCACCAAATCATCCAATATTATCTCTTAAATCTCACCAAATAACAAACTAGTATTTTCTTTTCTAAAATGAAAATTCTAACAATTCCACCAAAAGTATCCTAAAAAATCACATAACTTTCTCAAAATCCAAAATTTTCTAAATTCCACCAAATCCACCCAAATCTTTAATTCAATACACCCCCCTTAGTTCACATTTTGAAACTATTCAACCGTATAAACTGCATATCATAAGCAAAATTTAGACATTGCACCATCCATTATCATATTTATGAAACAGAAGATGCTCCAAGGACTCGATTCTTCATAATCTTAAGTGAAGAAGACTGTTTCACCCACCAAATACCAATCTTTGTATTTCAAATCGGTTAATATATATATATATATATATATATATATGTGAGATGTTAAACAAAATATCTTGTTTAAAACAAAGGAACTTGAAACATGGAAAATGAAAGCATAGGCTTACAAAGCCCAGCTTGTCTAGTGTTTTGATATTAGTTGCTAAAAATTTTCATCATAGGGTTCCCGCCTCTTTGCTGGTTGTTAATCAGTTTCGCCAGAAAAATTTCTATGTGACTGATGTCACTTATAGGATGTATTTTAAGCTCTTGTTATAGAGCTTCTTTCTCAAGACTTCAGCTGAAATTGTTACTTTCTATATGAGAGTATTGCGGTAATACCCTATATGGGTTTAGTTGATAGAAGTTTGGGCTCTCCCGTATGTAAGCCTTTGTATGAATCTCTGTTTCTGTTTCTTTTGGACATCTCATGAAAAGCTCTTGCAAGTCGCTAGAAGAGTCCTTCATGAATAGCCATACATGTGTAGCTAGTCGCCTTATCTCCGACTAGTACTTATTACATGTAACATGTGGTCTCCTTGTCAATTAGCTGAAAGTTAGAACTAATATTGATTAAGAAATTCTGCTTTTATCTTCTTTTGTCGCCTGACCAAACTTACTCTAATCTAAAATTTTAGCGTGAAATATACATTTTCTGAATTTATGCAAATTTTGTACACCTGTGCTACTAAGTTCATATCAATTTCATAGTGTCAGTTTTATCGGTTCCTTTAAAAAAAAAGACCAAAAATTTACACCAAATGGTATGACACTTTTAGTTTGGTAAACATGACTGGTAAATGCGGTAAAAGGAATAGATCACATTTTCAATATGTATTCAAGATGTAAATCAAACTATAGACACATGGTTTAATTTATCACTTTCCAATTCCAAACAGATGTTTTTTCTTGATCGCCGACATGAAATGTTGAACAGATTGCAACTCACTCGCGTATGCGTCATCGGGAAAATCAAACCAGTGATCGTCCTGAACATCCGTGACATAACAATCACAACGATTAATGCTCCCCAAGCAAGCATAGGATCCCAAGAGCTCTGGAAACAACATGATTTTGTTGTAAGGTTTTATTTGGTTAAACTAAAAATGGGAGACTAGAGAGAGAGAGGAGATTGGAAAAATACCAGAAGAATCAAAACTGCCGCAAATATCCAGATGGCCCAAGAAATGAAGAGTGATGTGCTAACGTCAATGGAACCATCTTGAGTTAGGAGAAGTTGTGAATTGATAGCAAAAAGTCCACAAAGAATTCCCCACATATATAGAGACGGCACCCAAACATATAACACCTACAAAAGCAAAATGCGGTAAACTTCTTTAAATGAGATTTGTGATATCAAATGGGGTGCAAAGTATTAAATGAGATTTGTGATATCAAATGAGGTGCAAAATATTAAATGAGATTTGTGATATCAAATGAGGTGCAAAGTATCGACAATATTAAAAAAGTACAATAAAACCGACATACAGGTTTATAAAATCCTTCTCTGAACCCCATCACTCTCAGCATACTTTGAGTGAAACTAGGTATGTAGGGACCAATGACATAACATAAACAAACCTGACCAAAAAATAAAGAAAAACATATGGTTAGTGTTGGATAAAATAGATGGGGATCACAAGAAGTAAAACGAAATAATTAATTACCAGAAATCGATACAAGAAGAACTCCAAACGACGACTCCGTGCATGCTTCACTACCTGTACAAACACTCTTTTATAGGTAAGCAAAGAAAAAAACAACTGAAAAGAGAGTTTTAGAAAGTAAAATACCTGAAAGCATAGTAGTAGCCCAACAGGGATCAAACCAACCGAAAAAGTAGTAACATAATAAAAGGCATATGATCTACTCAATGTTGAAGCATAAGTCAGCAAAATGGTACCAAGGATTAGGAATACATAGCGATACATAAGCCATTCTGCAAAACATAAAACAGAGTTGATAAAAGCACCTACTAGGAAACATTCGTGTAGTATTTAAAGTAGATAACAAGAATCACCTTTTACAGTAGACACTTTCAGAGTGACCTCGGATGAGCTAGCTACTCTTACATCAAGGAGCTTGTAGTAAAAAAATGGTGACATTTTCTGAGTCCATGAACCATTAGAGACTTTCTTCCATTGATTATGAGGGCACATTCCAAGTGCAAGCGAGAAATCACTAAAAGAAAAGATGGAAACATTAGTTAGAGATACTCTATGATAAATGAATTCAAGCCCAACAAATTAACTTACTCACCTATGGAAGCAAACGTGTGTTTCCCCATCGGATGAAGCGTTAACTATCAGCTTGAGTGAATGTGCATACATGTCTATACGTGTAAGCCTTGGAATTCCATGGATAAGTATCCTGTCACATAGAGATCCAGGAGAACCCTTAACCTCTAAACGAGGAGTGACTGTTCCACAGAGTTACAAGCAACTAAGATTCAATTAGCGACACACAAATTATAAGGGCAAATAGGAAAAAACTTACCCAACAGTTGAGCACCTGAAACGAGGGACGAGAAAGCAAAGGTGATTACGATAACGTGGAGAAGAAGATAATTGCCCATCGTGATTTCTATGTTTCGATGATGATTTCTTGGATTTGAATCAAAATTCCGATCAAGTGCAGATTTGGATTTTAAGAGACGAGAGTTATTTGATGATATCTTGGTTTTCGATCAAGTTGAAATAAAGGAACTTGAAGATGGAGAATCAAGGAATTAACATAAATACCTAATTCCAAAACCTTTTGTATCCTAGACATCGTCTTAAGATGTAGATTGCATTTCTTAGATTCTATAGATTAAGAGATGATATAACATAAGAAACTATATATATGTGCTTATAATTGAAGACTACTCTCTATTAGTAACCATTGGTTTTGGTCCTTGTTACTCGAGATCTTCAGTGAAATCGACCAGCCTCTCGCCCACTTTGTATCGGTTATCGAATTCCAGCTGGTGAAGGTAAATGATAAGATCACTAATGAGCTTGACACTAAACCATATGGGAATAAAGACTAGGATCGCCGGCCAAACGAACCGCTGGACGGTTAAGTTGACTGCACTGGAAAATCCAAGAATTGGGAACAGAGAGTTCACCACCACGTAGGGAACGCAGAGAGTGAATAAAAGGGACACTATGATCGAGCCAATAACATCTCGAATCAGCCACTTAAAGGGAAGTCCGTTGATTCCGACACTTGTGATTCTGTGAAGCTTTTCCCGCCACACCACAGTCGCGAAACAGTTGATCGGTGTGAGCATAGTCTGCAAGAGAAGAAAGAAGTTACTTGTTCCACAACCAAAAAAAAAAAATGAGTTCTTGAGTGAAGCAATAATGATGGACATTTTTTCTTACCAGAAAGATCCAGATATGAAGGACGAGTACACCGATCAACCAATCGTGGAGCAAGTTATATACTGGGGATTCGTCTAGCGCAACTTGTGATGGGATGATGATCATAAGGTCGATAAGGAGACCGAGCAATCCCGGTATGACTGAGATCTGTTCACAGCAAAACCATCATGATTCCAAAAGTCATGATATTCAGACACTTTCAGTGAAATACTTTTGAGATTTCTTACCCATATGGAGAATAACAAGAAATTCCGGATGAAGATCATGAAATGGTTGATAAGCAAATGGACTCTTCCTGTCACGAAATGATCATAGACGAAGCAAGTGATGATATAGATTCCTCGCAAGATACAGAATCCAATCCAGAAAGCACAAATATCTAAAATGATTGATTTGCAAAGAGACACTTTTAACATCAGAAGCATAATACAAAGGAGAAAGAAGTGTGAAGCAGGATTAAGAAAGCACAAACCGTCGTGTTTGAGTCCGAAACTTAGCATGAAGAAAGAGATAGAGTGGAAGAACGCCCTTCCCAGTAGAATTGGTAAAGCCATGAAGGTTGTACTAACAAGAAACATACTCAGAGAAGCTAGAACCAACATCACTCCAATCCTCAGCATAAACCTGAAACTTCAACTTATCAGAATATAAATTTTGCACCAGAAATTATCTTTACTTAAAGCGTGTTATCTGTTACCTTTTATCTCTTTGGTCGTTTGTGTCCTCTTCACAGGTGGTATCGCTTTGAGATCCATACAAACTGACCATAGAGCCTTCAGCTATGCCAAATACTAGAAAACGTGGTCTCACTCTCACATTACGATTTGCACGTTGTTTTCGGGGCTCTCCAAGCAAGAAATCACTCAACTTGAGCAAAGAACTGATAGTGATAACCCACTTGTGAACTATGGGTCTGATGGATGGTCTAATTAAATTGGCTAACCACTGGGGACCGAAGATTATTAGGCCCGTATAAGCAACAAGTAAGCCAAGCAAAAACTCATCCTCGTACACCCTGCATATCCCTTGAGCGTTTTAATACATTTTGTTCAAGAACCGATAAATTAGAAACATTATGTGGGTACCTTACCCAAATTGGAGAGGGAAAAAGGACTGGCTGATGAGACTGATTGTTTTTATTGGTAAGTGAAGCACAATCACCACCATTGCCCCATGGAAAGCAAACGCCAAGAGAATGGGACCAAGATGAAGTTTGGTGATTTTGTAGTTTGGTTCTGCAACATCTAGCAGATACCAAAAGGCTCGTTTCGGAACTATCTGCCAAAAGGAAGAAGACAAAGTGAGTCAACCAGATGATGCGTGAGGATTAAACAAAAATTCAGATGTTACCTTTTGGATAAGCTCCATGCAACTTAAAGCAACTACCAAGTACAACATTCCCATTAACCAATGTTTGTCAGCCATGAGTGGATAGTCTGAAAGAACCTCAACGCTGTGGGAAGCTGTCTTTCCTAGTATATGGAAAGTGCAGAAATCTAGCCAGCAACCAAGTATCCAAGGCAGAACAACGAGTTTAAAACACAAGATGAATGTATCCTTAACTGACGGTAAAAACCATCTGACTCTTGTTAGATACGTGTTTCGAGACAGAGTAAAGACACTTGCAAGGAAAGCCAATAAAACTGAGCGTATAACCATATCTCCAGCAGCCACTTCAGTTGCATTTTCTGCAATCCAACCGAGTGAGAAACAACGTAGGAGAACTAAGACAACTCGTCCAATCGAAAATGGTAAAAGAACGTTGAAGAAAGACCAATAGATGTTGATGGCAAGAACCTGTAGAGAAATAAAAAGAAGAAGAATCTGTTACTCAACATGGTGAAACATTAATGTTAATCCGGAAATCTAGGACAACAGTCTCTACAATGAATGATTTTTATGTAAGAGTAATTGAACAAAGAGAGCTAAGACTTACAGCAAAAGTGTTGTCACTCAAAAGGGAAAAAAACCTTCTGATAGCTCCAAATTGATGAAGCGGCGTGTTTCGAGGAACAAACGCTAGTGCAAGAGGTCCCCTTTGAATGATATGGAGAAATGGCAAGTGTAAGAGCTGATCATGCCACCAATCACACAGAATGTGTAAATGATTCGCTAACAGCAGCACAATTCCAGTAACATCTATATCTTTTAGACCATTCTCTAAGATGATCATATGACGTAAGAACTCGGGGTGTCTCCTTAAAAGCACTCTTATGATTTCCATTTGAACAACCATATCGGTGGTACTAGACACTATCTCAGCAGTGTAGAATAGACCAGGAAATTTCAAGGACAGTTCAAAAACAGTCTGGTTCACAAACACACCTTCCCTGTCCCAAGGACGAAAAGAAGAGCAATATGCGTTGAAAGGAATCATGAAAACCCAAGGAAGCATCAGGTTCATGAAACGTAATGCTCTCATTAGCAATCCCATTAAGAATTCGTGCCATGGTAGTCTCTCTGGAGCGTTCTCGGAATAAATCGGCACAATTGAGTAGCAATGTTTGCAAATCTACAGTGGAAGAAGAAAAAGAGAGAAACTTTAGAGATATCTTCCACAAATCACATAAAAAAGAGAGGAAAAAATCGAAAAAGCAGTAAACTTTAAACTCAATTCCTAAGCAGAAACAGAGATTTTGAAAAAGGGTTTAAAACCTCGCAATGGTTGCGTTTACGGCGATTGAGCCAGAGAAAAAGACAATCTGAGTGGATATACTTGAGAGAGCCTCGACACGCGCACGGATGTCTCAACGGATTGTCTGGTTCCTCCGGTGATTGGCAAATCCGACAAATGTCTACAGCTTTGTTTGTTATGTCTGATACTTCTTTAGTAACAGCTTCGCCGGAGCCAACGAGCTTTTCTTCCGCCGGAGAAATCTCCATTTTCCGGGAACTAGGAACCTTGGAACTTCGATTGTATCTCTCTCTTTCTCTCTTCTGTCTGCACTTTCACTTTAGCGGCAAATGAAACAAAAATGGCTGCCAAAAAGAAAACAGACGTATTTATAAATGATTTAAAAAAGTAAACAAAAAAGGAATTAAACGTTTTTTTTTTTACATCTTTGGATCGACAAGGATCGATCCATAGCCAATTCCTACTACGCGGGGTAACGCGATCTAGTGGAGTCAAACTTCGGTGGAGAAGGCGGAGTCAAGTCGACTTAAACACTTAACTAAAGGCACATCCCCAAATGAATTAAACGTTTATGATTCGTCGTTTGACTTATTTTTACTTTTTTTTTTTTGACAGCGACAGAGGGACTTTCTTACGTTGCTTCATATTTCCTCGGTAATTTACGCGAGAAATTTACTTCTTCCTTTTTTTTCTTTCCCTTTCGAGTTTCCCACATTAACTTTTCTTTCCCTTTCAGATCAAAATCATTAAAAACTAGACTTGTAAATAATAAAGTTTTATATAGAAAAATGTAGTAAGAATTTTTAATGACCATAACAGGTTGTGGTTGCTTTTAGTTAAAGTTGGGTTGTTGAGATGTGTGTGAGGCCTTTTTTCCTCTATTAAACCAAAATACAGATAAAATACAAAAATCAGATTCACATAATCTCAATACAAGAACAAATAGTACACCCAAATTCAGTGATACAATCATACCCATAACTATAATTTTAAGAGGAGAACCTTTTAATTTCATCTTCCAAAGAAGTGAACACCAATAAATAGTGAAGCACTTAGCATCCCAATAAATGTAACCAAAAAAAAAAGAGAGAAAGATATCTGAAACATGTAAATTATGTTTAGGAACTAACTATAATTTTACGATATTAAAACCAGAAGCAAAACACAAATCTACCGAGCACAAACAAACCTACGTGAAGATGACCTAAGGAAAGATGCTTTGGGTGACCAATAGGCCACATATGAGAATCACAGCGTATAAGCTAAAATCCATAAGAAGTGCATCCATTATCTTCTTCATCATCATCACCATCTCCAAAGCGTTGCCTACTTGGTCCATCATACCTTGCTCGCTCATTACTGTCCCTGAGGCTGAGGAAGAATCTCCATGATGACTCAGCAGAACACGTCCAAGCACAATTGTGGCATCGGTCAACAGAAGCAAGAAAACTGGCCTGAAGCTTACTATGTTGCCTAGGGAAGAGAAACCGAGATGAGATAGTATGACAACAAGTGCAATCGCAAGAGCTGTGAACATCCGTGCGTATTCTGAAGCATCAATGGCCGCTCCAATGTGTTTTGGCGTGATGGCGTTCACAAAACTAACCACAGGAATAAATGCTTGAGAAGCACCTAAATTTACCACTGATGGGTTTTGAACACTTGATGTTGTAGGAGACGCTTGTATTGTTGCGTCTCTAGGATCTGAACCAGAGGCTTCTGCCAATGTTTCAGCATGCCTCTGAGGCTGAAGCGATTCTGCCCTGCTTTGATGGATTATACGATCCACATTATCAAGCATCTCAGCATCAGAGATGTTTTCCTGGTGACTTGTGAAAGCTGCAATTTCACAACCAGGGATCATCAAAATCAGTAAGTTACCCTCTGGCTTTATCTTATTACGCTTATAAGAGACTGGAATCAACAACATATAAATGATGCTAACATTTTGACATCCATCAATATTCTTGTTCAGAATATAACAAGTTAGGCAAGCAAAACACACACATATGTAAATAAGTAGATATTAGCACATAAATCTGTAACCTCGGAGTAGGATAGTGTAAAAGTAAGCCTCAAGAAACGCCAAAAAGAACATTCACAATCAGTGGGTTCCTCCACCACTCCTAAGAGGAACCCACTGAATGTGATAATTTACAAAGCCTTAAGATTTATTGGCTCCAATCAAGCAGTGTAGCAATCTTTTCCTTGCAAACTTTGTGGCACAATACAGCAAGCAAACTATAAAAACACAACATAATTGAGCTTTCCAAACACTAGACTGTGGTTGAACCACACCTATAAATAATTTCACAGAAAGGCCAACTAAATTTCAAGGTGCGAGGTGACTTAAGCATAAGTAGAGAACAGTTAAATCAGGTTCATAAGATCTAATTTCTGCTAAAGCCAAGTAAGTAGGTTCCAACATGAAATCTGGATTTAACAGCTTCACCACCCATTAACTAGTACAATCAGAGGACACAATAAACTAAAAGATATAAATGTAGATAATGGGTGTTGTCCTATTCTTCTCTACAAAGTTTCCCTATTTCAAACATGCAATGGTTCAAAGCGGGTTCTTACACACATGAAATTCCGCTTTGAATTTGATCAGCCAAACACACATAAAATCTGATCAAAGAAGCCAATTCGATTGACACAATCTTTCAGCAAGTCGCTCAAATTCTTACACACACAAACAATAACGAAAACCGAACTTCGATACGAACAAGTCAAGGATGATAATAATCCCTAGAAAGAGTACCAATTTCTTGAGCTTTAAGAATCTGATCGCGAGGGGGAATCGGGTCCGGTGATGATTGGAGATGAGACTGGGAAAGGGAAGAAGTAGAATCGGAAGGAGGAGGAGGATGAGCGCCGTTGATCTGACCAGTGATAAAGGCTAAACGATCAGATCCTCTTTCTAGGATCTTCCGCCTCCTGGCTTCTCTGCTGTTCGACGACATTGCCTCACCGGAATTTTTCTTGTATTCGGAGCAAAGAAAGAAAGGAAACCAATTCTCGACGGGGTCAGCTCAGCTCGGTCGCTTTTTAAACGCGGATTTTAAATCACTTTTTTTCTTCATCAAACGCAAATCGTCGTCAGTAATGAGTTTGTCGCGTTTAGAATAATGGGCTTCTTAACGGGCCAATTCAAGTGTGCCCAATTACTTCAAAATCCTAAATTGGTTGGATAGGACCAAGAGAATCAAGACAAGTCTATTCACGGCATATGCCAAAAAGCCCAACTAGTGTAATAAAAGAAAGAGAGCGTTGCCACCACGAGAGCCCCCACCATTTCCTTTTTAAAATTCAATTCAATCGCCCACAGTTTCTCACCACTGCGAACCAGAGAGAGACGAAAACCAGATAGAGAGAGATGCAATCGCTGCAGGAGAAGGCATCGGTGTTGAGCGGCGTCGATCAGGCTGAGGCGTTTGCCATCGACGAATCCAATCTGTTCGAAAAGCTTGGTCTTCAGGCCTTCATCAACCTATCCACCAATTTCTACACCAGGTACTTTTCTATGTGTTTGCTCTGGAGTCTGGGTTTTTATAACTCTCACTTGCTAAGCTCCATTTTCTCTATTAAAATCTGGTTTAGGCTAGGAGATTGTGGCTGAAAGTGTGAACCTTTTAATATTTATGAAGATTCAAGTCCACTCTCTCTCTGCTTGTTCAAATGACAAATTGAGATAACTTTTCCCAGGATTTTGGCTTGTAAATGCAGATATGAAAGTGTTATAGGATATACGTGTTCTGATTTTGACAAGTCTTTTAAGTCCTAGACAAGTTTTGAGATTTTGGATAATGCTTCTACTTTTGGACATGTGTTCTTAAGGGATTTCTTGTTTTGAAATGGGTAATAGGGTATATGACGACGAAGAAGAATGGTTTCGGTCCATCTTTTCTAACTCAAACAAAGAAGATGCCATCCAGAACCAGTATGAGTTCTTCGTCCAGCGTATGGGAGGCCCTCCTTTATATTCTCAAAGGAAAGGTTTGTTTTTTCTTCTTACCTTTGGATTCTTCTCCCTTAATTATGTGTTTTAACCGAATTGGCTGATTGCATTCATATGTTGTTTGCTGTGATCCCTTAGTTATGTGTTCATAAGTTGTTTTCTGTGATTGGTTACTAGGTCTTTTCATGCTTGACTAAGAAATTGCACATCAACTAACTCATTTGTTTTTGCCCTTTTGATGCTCACTTAGTACACACACCGCACTTGTATCTTTATGATTGTATAACAAAAGACATTAGAATACATATTTGATATTTGCACCAATGTGATTTTGTTTTTGACTAAATATGACTTGGTATCTCCCAAACTCTCTTTGCCTTACTTTGTGGTTGTTTGTTTATCTTGCCAATGTGTAGGTCATCCTGCTTTGATCGGACGTCACCGTCCATTTCCAGTGACCCATCAAGCTGCTGAGAGATGGCTGCAGCACATGCAAAATGCTCTGGAGGACTCAGTTGACATTGACGAGGACTCAAAAATCAAAATGATGAAGTTCTTCAGGTAACAGTGCACCATCTTCTTCTCAGAGTCAAAAGTTTGTAATTCAGAAACCAGTATTATTCAGCTTAAACCTTAGTATTCTGTAGATATAAGCAAACAGATTGATTTGATCGGCTGCTTTTAATCTATTTCAGGCACACCGCATTCTTCCTTGTGGCTGGAAACGAGCTGAAGAATCAGAATGAGAAACCGAAGCATAAGCCTCAATGTGCTTGTAAACACGCAGCCAGTAAACCAGCTGAAGAATAATTTAACTACAGATTCTTGTTCTACTTGAACTTTCATTCAAAGTACACAAAGATTCGAGGAATATTGGTCTTTACTGGAAAGCAATGTAAGAGAAATAGAACTGGTCTTGGCTCTCAATGCAAACTTGCAATAGCACTTTTTCATTAGCTGGTCTGCCACAGAATGTTACATTACAAGTTTTAACTTCTTCCAAACAATGATTTAAAGGCTATAAACAATTCTAAACATAATTTACAACACTTAAAAACCTGATTAGAAAACAAATACCCTAAAAAAATGCTTTAAAAATGCCCAACGGCAACCCAAAAGCAAAAACAACTTTATGGTTCAAATCGAAAATTTGAGCGTCAAAATCGAAAAAATTGAAATTTGAAGGAAAAAATAAAAATACATTAGTCAGAGAGAGAGAGAGAGCTCTGTGTCTAGAAGGGAAATCAAAAATTCAAACGCTGCAGATTCTGTTTCTACATCGGCCTGCATTTGGGCGCTCCTCAGTCCCCCGGCGCTGAAATCGCCGACTAGGGTTTTTCTTCAGATCTCCGGCGGTTACTCTACTTCCTCCGCCCATGGACTCAGATTCCTCGAAATCGCGGATTGATCAGGTCCGTTTCTCTCTCTCTCTTTTTCTTTGATTAATTTGTCTCCACGAACTTCAGACGAATGTTTGTGTTCTTCTTCCTCTCTTTCTCCTTTTCTCTGTGTGCAAATTCGTGCTTGCTGCAACAACTTCAAGTTTCTCAAGACTTCAAAAACTTGTGCTTTTTGAATTCTGACCTATATCGATGCAAATGGGTGAAATTTGTACTTTGTAGAGTCTTCAAATCATTGGATTGTTTTGGTAGTGAAAATCTATATAATTTGTAAAGAAAGTCGCTTTTTAATGAGCAAAGTCTTACACTTTGTCAAGGATTTTCTATGAATTAGATAAAAAGAATTGTTTTAAAAAGCTTTTTCTGCAGTCAAATTATGAAATTAGTTATGATGAATGAGAAGTGGGCCAAAAGACGGATTTTGTTACATTGAAGCATAAGTGTGTTTGCACTGACTCATTTTCCTTATGTTTGTTGTCACTGTACTATCAGTTTTATGTATCAAAGAAGAGGAAACACCAGTCACCAAATTTGAAATCTGGGAGAAATGAGAAAAATGTGAAGGTGACAGGAGAAAGATCTCCTGGAGACAAAGGCACTTTGGACAATTACTTGAAAGCCTCTCTGGATGACAAGAGCACTACCAATAGTGGGTTGCAGGCAAGGCAGGAGGCGTTTACAAGAAAATTGGATTTGGAGGTTTCTGCTTCGTCTGTTGGTGAAAATATAAACCCCTGCCTGCCTAAACCTGTAACTATTGCAACTTTTAAAGAGTGTTTGGACCAGAACGGATCTCGAGATTTGCATAAAGAAGGTGTTGCAGCTGAAGCTCATGCAACAGATGGTTTGCACTGTGCTAACCAGAAAGATAATTCAGAACTAAGAGACTTTGCCACTAGTTTCTTGTCCTTGTATTGTAGGTAATGTGCTTTGATTGTGCCGAATATTTTTTCTTTCCATTATCATCAAGGAGTTAGTTACATACTTACATTCATTCTTTTATTATGTCTGACTAATCAATTGTTCTGGAATTTAGAAGATTTTGTTCATTGTGCTTGTCTGTTTTTTGCAGTGGTTTGCAGTCTGTTGTTGGCTCACCTCCACATCAGAAGGCAAATGAACTGAAGCGTCGAAGCAGTTCATCATCACTTGCCCAAGATATACAAAGTTCTCACAAGAGGCGTTGTGAGTCCGAAAATATACCATCACTAGATGATCTTGCAAATCCTCTCGGGAGTAAGCCTGAATCACTCGCTAGGAATGGTGATAATAGAGATAAATCTGTTTCAGACCATACAAAGAAGGTATAATTGGATCAACAATCATGGTTACCTGTCCTCCTGCTAAACTAATTCATCTCAAATAATCGTATGTGTTTGCTCTGATATATTCACAGATGCCGAGCAATGAATATGTTGAAATTCCAATGGGCTTGAGGAAGTGTAGTAAGGCGCCAGAATCATCTGCTCATCTAACTGAATTCCACACGCCTGGATCAGCCATTAAATCATGTCCTGTTGGAACCCCTAAGTCAGGAAGTGGTAGCTCAATGTTCTCACCTGGTGATTCTTTCTGGAATGAAGCAATTCAAGTTGCTGATGGTTTGACAATTCCAATTGAGAACTCTGGTTCCGTAAAAGTTAAAGATGGAGATCAACATGGAACTATTCTTTCATGCAGCAACAAAACAGATAAATGCAATGAAATGTTAAAGAGGAGTTTAGATTTAGATGAAAGCAGAGTAAACGATAAAGATGCCATTGGTTTTTCAAAGGTCTTGGAGAAGCATGGGAGAGATTTTAATAAAGAAGTATCTCCGCTTCCTGTCAAGAATCTTGAACTTTTGTTTCAAGATAAGAACATTAATGGAGGTCTTCGAGAGCAATGTGCTTCATTTGATCAAAATAACATTACTCTAGGAAGCAGTAGGATCTCTGAATCTGCTTTCGTCGATAATAAAGGATGTGAAACTCTTGATATTGTAAATTCTCAGGCAGATAAAGGTTTGATAGGCAAGATGTATCCAGAACCCGAAGGAAAGAAAGTTTTACTGTGCGAGGAAAATCGTGGTGTAAGATCTGTTTCTATGATAAGCAACATGAGGAAACCAGTTGATTCTAGTGAATCTGAAGAAAGTCATACTCCTTCAAGCTCTCACCGTAATTACGATGGTTTGATTCTCAGCACTTGGCTTCCCTCAGAAGTTTGCAGTGTATACAATAAGAAAGGAATATCCAAACTCTATCCTTGGCAGGTACATAACTATTATTTTTGGATACAGCTGATCAATATTTTTGAAATGCCTACTCCTATAGATAAATAGATAGATAGATGTAAATTTGCTTCTCTATTGCAGTTCTATGATACGAGAGCCTGCAGCTAGTATTCGCCATCCAAAGTTAATCTGCTCTTCATGCATTGTTCCTTTCATTACATTTATCATATCACTTATGCCGTAGTTGTACATGTGATATATGTTGGTTTTCTTCCTTTTGACCTCTCTTTGCTCACCTTGTCTGATGCTACCCGCACTGACCTACTTTTTACATATCTCTCGTTATTTGGGACCCTATTCACCTTTTTAATGTTTTTCATGAATTTGCACAAAACTTATTGACAACTTTTATCCTCGACTCTATTCTTATTTTTGTATTTATACTTTCTAAATTTGTGACGTTGATTAATGAGTGATTTTAAGTCAGTATCATATCTGAAAAAGTTGTCCTGTTTGTACGCATGTATTGCCTCTTTCATGAGCTGAATACAAATTGTTAATTTTCTAGGTCGAGTGTCTTCAGGTAGATGGTGTTTTGCAGAAAAGGAATCTAGTATATTGTGCTTCTACTAGGTATCTTCATGGTTGGCTATGAATCTGTTTCAAAGTTTCTTTTTTCATACATTTTCTTTGGATCATGATAGCAGTATTATTAATCTCAGTAGCAGGCTTCTGTCTTACAAGAATTTATTATCAATTTCAAAACCATGCTGTTTGCGCAGTGCTGGTAAAAGTTTTGTTGCAGAAGTCTTGATGCTGCGCCGGGTCATAACAACTGGAAAAATGGCATTGCTTGTGCTACCTTATGTATCCATTTGTGCCGAGAAGGTTTCTTTTGTTTCTCCAAGCATCCTACACGTTTTGCAATATTACTTTCTGTAAGTTTAATCGTATTTGCAATTGGGTGCAGGCGGAACACCTTGAGGTCCTTCTTGAACCACTTGGTAAGCATGTTCGTAGTTACTATGGAAATCAGGGTGGTGGAACACTTCCTAAAGGCACTTCTGTGGCTGTGTGCACGATTGAGAAGGCAAACTCTTTGATAAATCGCTTGCTCGAAGAGGGTCGTTTGTCAGAACTTGGGATAATAGTTATAGATGAGCTACATATGGTATGGTTTTCACATATCTCATCTGCATGGATCTCGGATAAGCTTATAACTGTCTGAAACCATCTTTATTTTTTATCTTTGCTTTATTTTGTGCTCTATCTTCATATAGTTGATAATGAATGCATTAAAAGGAATCTTCTGCTCATGGTTTATATAGGTGGGTGACCAACATAGGGGTTATCTTTTGGAACTTATGTTGACGAAACTTCGTTATGCTGCTGGTGAAGGCAGTTCAGAATCAAGTAGTGGTGAGAGTTCAGGGAATAGCAGTGGCAAAGCTGATCCTGCTCATGGCCTACAAATTGTGGGTATGAGTGCTACAATGCCGAATGTTGGCGCAGTTGCTGACTGGCTTCAAGTAAGCAAAAAAATCACAATTTGTGTGTGTATGTATATATTTTGCTCTCACTCAGTTGCATGACACTTTTCTTTAGATATACAAGTATTCGTCAGTTAATGTACATACCTGCATGTCTGTGGGAATTATAATAAAATATGGTATATATGAAGTTGCGCAGAAATACTGTTTGAGATTGTTAATAAACTTTATGTTTCCTTTAAAATGAAGACCTTTGTATCTCCAGATCTCTTAAATGGGTGATGATAGTTTTTATGTATATGTTACTTTCCGAAGCTATTGTCTTCACCCCTATTGAAACTCTTTGTAAAGTTATTGTGGCCTTTTTTAACCAGAAAACTTAATATTTGTTTTACATGTTGAAAGGCAGCTTTATATCAAACAGAGTTTCGACCAGTTCCACTAGAGGAGTATATTAAAGTTGGTAGCACCATTTACAATAAAAAGATGGAAGTTGTGAGGACTATACCAAAAGCTGCTGATATGGGAGGGAAAGACCCGGACCATATAGTTGAGCTTTGTAACGAGGTAATGGAAGTTTTTGATAAAACATGTACTCAGCTTTTGTTAAAAAAGGAATATTCACATGTAATATCACGATCTAGGTTGTTCAAGAGGGCAATTCAGTGCTGATATTTTGCTCGAGTCGAAAAGGATGTGAATCAACTGCTAGGCATATTTCAAAGCTCATTAAAAAAGTTCCCATAGACGTTGATGGTAAAAATAGTGAGTTTATGGATATCAGATCTGCTATTGATGCCCTGCGAAGGTCTCCGTCTGGAGTAGATCCTGTACTAGAAGAAACTCTTCCC